GTAACAAGAATTCAAAAAAAAAAAAAAAATGAGAGGCTTAGGAACCTCCAGGACATCTTTAAATGTTCCAACATCCAAATTATAGGGGTACAATAAAGGGAAAAAGAAGAGCAACAAGTGGAAAACTTATTTGAACAAATAATAAAGGAGAACTTCCCCAATTTGGCAAAGGCAATAGACTTCCAGGAAGTCCAGGAAGCTCAGAGTCCCAAAGAAGTTGGACCCAAGGAGGAACACACCAAGGCACATCATAATTATATTAGCCAAGATTTAAATGAATCTTGGCTTCCAGAGAATCCTAGAAGCAGCAAAACATAAGGGGACAGTCACCTACAAAGAAGTTCCCATCAGACTGTCAGCTGATTTCTCAAAAGGACCTTCCAGGCAAGAAGGGGCTGGAAAGAAGTATTCCAAGTCATGAAATCCAAAGACCTACAACTAAGATTGCGCTATCCAGCAAAACTTTAATTTAGAATGGAAGGACAGATAAAGTACTTCTCAGATAAGATCAAATTCAAGGAGTTCATGATCACCAAGCCTTTATTATATGAAATGTTAAAGGGACTTATCTAAGAAAAAGAAGATAAAAAAGATGAACAGTGAAAGGACAGCAAACTCACAGTTATTAACAACCCAACCTAAACCAAAATCAAACTAAGAGGACAGCTAGATCAGGAGCAGAACCATAGAAATTAAGATCGCATGGAGGGTTAGCAACAGGGGAGTGGGAGGAGAAGGGGGGAGAAGGTACAGAGAACAAGTAGCATAGACAGTAGGTAGAAAATAGACTGGGGGAGGGCAAGAATAGTATGGGAAATATAGAATCCAAAGAACTTGTGACACATGTACATAAACTAAAGGGGGGGAATGGTGGGGGAGGGAGTGTGCAGGGTGGAGGGGAATGAAGGGGGTAAGTGGGACAACTGTAATGGCATAATCAATAAACTATATTTTAAAAAATAAAACGTAATAATAAAAAAGAAAGTATATTCCAGGAAAAAAGATAAAAACACATGCAAAAAGAAGAAACATGATTCTCTGCACCAATATGAAAAGTTCTACATCACTGCTAATTTTTTTTTTTCACTGCTATATTTTCATTTCTTCTTGACACTCTAATCAGGGTTTGCAAACACATGGCACCCACCCTGCCACCTGCCCCCAGCCCCATGGTAAACACCTCCGACTGAACATGGAATCTTTCTTTAGTCTACTCAGCACTAGGTTACATGATTAAGAGAAATAAAGTCAACACAGTTGGTCATTAGCAATAAGAGAGTATGTGCACCTAGGAGACATTTGCTCATATTTCTAATTTGATCGGGTGGACACATGGAAAGTGTGGACATCCAGAAGTGAGGCAGAGAAGCCAGGGCCTAAAATGTCACCTGGGCAATTTTTAAAATTCCAAACCTTAAACCACAACCAAGACTGATTAAATCCCAAATTCTGAGGATGGGGAAAAGGCTTTCATATTTCCCAAACTCCCCAAGTAACTTCCAACGTGCAGACAAGTTTGAGAATGATGGTGACTTCATCACAGACTTGGGGGGGCTGGAAGGGCTACGAAATCGCTCTGCCTGGGAAGGGGGTGTGCAAGGGCAAGGGGGGGGGGCTCTGCCTCTGGGCTGTCTCAGAAAGCAGGAACCCAGGGTGCAGGCTTGAGCTGGGCGCCCTCACCCAGCGGGCAGGGCCAGGGCCGTGAGCAGGGTCAGAAAGCGGAGTGGAAGTTCAGGCCCTCAGGCCACCTTTTTTACAAAATCAGTTTGGATGGCCTGATGCCAAGTCTACTTAGAAATGGTTATTTTCATTTTTAGTTTTTAAAGAAATGGCTAAGTACTAAAGCTTTAAGGGCAAGCAGTGTAACAACTCAATGATCTTAATTTTGCTACCTTCTACCTTCTTTCTAGATATTAAATTTGCATATATAAAAAAACTCAGGTACTTCAGTATCAAGGAAATTGTATTACACCGAATTGAAAAGAACACGCCTGCTGAAACAGGATACTCAGCAGCACTGCCACGGATCCGTGCAAGTATTTTGACATGATGCTTATTTACTTAGAATTTGAGGTCAGAGTTCACTGAGCACAGAAAATATTACTTTGAAAACAGAGCCAATATCAATACTATGCTAATATTTTTGCAAAAGCAATTCCACCTTTTAATTCTACCACAATGACTCGAAATTGTAAGAGAAAGTCTACAACTCTTCTATTCATTCAGAATTTTAAGGTTTCTCTCACAGAAGAACAAAAGAGTTTTCAAAACCTTTCTGTATCTCAATGTCCTTTTCAACTGCAAATGTAAAAATGCATTTGTATTTTATTGATACAGCCTGTGAAATAAAAGCCAGTGTAAGAATGTGATGACATTTAAAGCAACTCTGCTTTGCTTTTATTTTTTTCTGCATAAGGAACAATTGCACTGATTTAAACGAGAAAACTCCTAGTTGAGGGCAGGAAAGAGGGCAGCAGGACTTGGGGTGGGAACTTGTGACCCCAATCTGACTCTCACCTGCTCTCAAGCAGGGAGAAGAAGAAGTGTTGCTGGGACCAAACAGAAGCAGTGAAGTGGAAAGTGTTTTAAAATCCATACATATCACTCATTTATCTACTTTATTCTAGACAAAGCAAGTTTACAAAAGGAAGTCCGATTCCGAAGGGTTTCACTTTTTCCTCTCTCTAAATTGAAAATAACAGGTCCAAGCCCAGTTTAGCTTAAAGTATTTATGACCTGTAACTCGCCTATTCAACATATACAATGCAGATCAACTGTATTGGTGCTCTGTTTAAAAATTACTGTACCTTGCCCTGGCTGGTGTAGCTCAGTGGATTGAGCACAGGCCTGCGAAACCACACGATCAAGGTTCGATTCCCAGTCAGGGCACATGCCTGGGTTGCAGGCCAGTTCCCAGCAGGGGACTCACAGAGGCAACCATACATTGATATTTCTCTCCTTCCCTTCCTCTCTATAAATAAATAAATAAAATCTTTTTAAAAATTACCATATCTGGTCATCTGTCCTTGACCAGTGCAGTGCAATTGGTTGGGTGTTGTCCTGCAAAGCGAAAGGTTGTCAGTTCGATTCCCGGTCAGGGCACGTGCCCAGGTGGGTTCAGTTCCCAGTCAGGGCATGTTCGAGAGGTTTCTCTCTCACATCAATGTTTCTCTCCCTCCTTTCCCCTGTCTCTAAAAATAAATAAAATCTTTTAAAAAATTACCCTGTCTACTCTTTGTTCCTTGTAAGCCCCATTGAAGCAATGCCCCTAAGAAACAAGAAGGGTCCCCACAGAATTCAGTTCCCACTACAAGGACCCTCTAGCCTGTCCTAATGAGACAAATGCTGTGGGGAATGGGGCGTCTCCTAGAGGCCAGTCTCCCAGAATCTTATTAAAATGTGGTTCTTGAATATGGTCCCTGGAGGAACAGTATTATCGGCATTACCTAGAATGGGCTACAAGTGCAGATCCCGGGGCCACACCTGTCTGAGTCCATCAGGCCACTGTAACGTGCCACAACAGACCCGTTCCTCCCAGTTCTGGGGGCCAGAGACCCGAGATCTCGGTGCCGGTGGGCTCGGTGTCCAGTGAGAGCCACTTCCTGGTTCACAGACGGCACCTTGTAGCTGCAACCGCACCCCGTGGAAGGAGTGTTACGGGAAGAAACTCACGCTGAGGAGATAGCAGAAAACACGAGAAGTTTATTACGTGCCCGGGCCCAGAGGAGTCAGTCTCCAACTTCTGAGCCCCGAACAAAGGATTCTTGGGGTGTATATAGTCTACCGGGTCTTCATGTCTACGTAGCAAAGTGGGATACAGGAGCAGAATTCAGAAGTTAGTTCTACCTATAGGGCTCCCTATACCTATGTGGCAGAAGCAGAGTACAAAGGCTAAATGCAAAAATTAGTTCTGACTGCAGGGGGGGCGGGGCCCCGCGCTAATCTTAGCCCTTGTGAACATCCTGCTGTTTGCTTTCCCAAACGGGCTGGCCCTATTGCTCTTCCCAGGGTGCTTGGAGTTTGGGTAAACAAAGGTTCTTCAAAGCTTCCTGCATCAAGAGCAGGGAGCTTCCTCACCCCTTTTTTCCTAAAGGCACTAATCCCTTTCTTAGGGGCTCCGCCCTCTAACCTCATCACCTCCCAAAAGGCCGCCACCTCCCAGTGCAATCACAGCAGGGTGAGGATTGCAACCTCTGAATCCTGGAGAGATGGGCTCTAGCTCACCTCGGGTAGCTGGGGATCAGCACCCCCACGTAGGGCGGCCATCTGTGTCCCAGCCAGCTGGACGGTGACTCTGACACACGCTCGGTTGGAGAGTCACCGCACCAATGATACTGCACCCCCGAAGGTGGCAGAGGGAGGTGCCGCCATGTGAAGAAATTAATTATACCAGCAGGAAACTAACCTTTCCTCCGGGGAGACAGAAAAATAAAGCTGATGCTTGTATCGAGCAAAAACGTGGAGCTGACCTGGCTGGTGTAGCTCAGTGGATTGAGCATGGGCCTGCGACCCATGCGATCGCAGTTCGATTCCCAGTCAGGGCACATGCCTGGGTTGCAGGCCAGTTCCCAGTGGGGGACACATGAGAGGCAACCACACAGTGATGTTTCTCTCCCTCTCTTTCTCCTTCCCTTCCCCTCTCTCTGAAAATAAATAAAAAAAACAAAAACCAAAAATGTGGAGCTAAGATTTAAGAAACATCATGAGACCAAACTGTGGTTTAATGTCTGAGAAAAAGCTCTCAGCAATTCCAAAATAATTGCCAAATGTCCCTTGATGCAAACGATAAAGTCATGTGAGTGAGTAATGCCATAAATGTAAGAAGAGTGTGGGTAACCCCAGTACCCGCCCCACCCCCACCAACGAAGAGGACCAGGTGGCTTCTTGGGCCCCAAGCGGTGCCCCGCCACACACCAGTCCGTGGTTATCTGACCATATGAGGAGTCTGAACGCGTTCATGGTCAAGGTGGGAATGAAAATAACAATAAAAAACCCACTCCGTATTTTCATGATCTTTTTTATTTACATAGATAGTACATGTAAACAACTGGCATAAAATTCATAAAAATACAATATTCCTATGTAATATCCCTTTATTCCTGATACGCCCTCACATTTTCTCCTCAATGTCGTGGCCTTACTTCAACTCTACACGTTTTCTGCGACAGGCTTTGGAGGCTGGCTGTTTTGTAGAGACACTGCCCCAGCTTTGTTTTTTCTCGTCACAGCAATAGCGATTTTCATCGCCTCCTGGCCCGCCGCCACCTTCCTCACACTAAAGCAAAAATATTTCCCAATGCTAAAAATAAGCAAAATACTGACCTTTAATACTGTTTTATCATGAGTATCAAACCTACTTCTACACTTTGTTGCCGTAAAAGAGATTCGTGAGTGACAGCACTGGCGGCTCCCAGGAGGGACCAGGACGGAGCCTGGTGCTGAGCGGCACCTGTTCTATGATGTCTGGCCTGGCGCCGCACCAGAGCTGGCTGGGGGGCTGCATTAGTAAATATGGTCACAAGTGGTCTTCAGACACAAAATCAGCTCGACAGGTTCTACCCTTTCCAGCACAGGAAACCGTTCTAATAGTTTTTCAAAGTTTTTCCTGTACTGAATTCTAACCTTCACACGTGAACTCTACTAGGAAGGGAATTACCAGTGGGCAGGAAGAACAGAGCACAACTTTGGAAGTGCCATCTAAAAACAGTAGCTGCTGCACAGACACCGGAGCCACACCTGGGTGAGAACTAGCTGCAGACAGAGCCCAGCACGTCCCCTCCTTCCGCCCACGAGGCCGGTCTCCAGGGCCTCAGGTGCCCTCTTCCCACTTTTCTGGATTGCTGCATCACGGCTCAAATGCCACTCCTAATCCACAGCTCCTGGCTACTTCCCTGTTTTCTGCAAGTGGCAAAAACCCAAGAAATAAGTCACCCAGCAAACGAGAAGGGGGGGATGGCATGGCACCCGAGGACACTGAAGAGAATTTGGGAGCTGGCTGGCGGGCGGGGCAGGGCAGGGACCTGCCCACCCTGGGCTGGAGCTGCCCCCCGGGGCAGACCCGTCCAGTGCTCTGGTAGAGGCAGGAGCCAGGCCTGAGGACTGGGTGTCCAGGACAATCTGCTGGGAGGGGGGCCTGCCTGTGGCGCCTCACGAGAACACCGTGTAATTGAATGGGTGGTCCACCCGAGGCAGGGTTTGCTTGGAAGAATTTAAAACCCCAAAACCATTTCTCAGAGATATAAGGGATTCGCTGTTTTTTAAAAATCTCATTTCACACAAATTAACTTCTAAAAAAACAAAAATTCATGCTAGGAATTCAAAGCAGGTTCAGAAGTTTTTCCAAATAAAAATAAATAGGAAAAGAACAAAGAAGAAGGCTGAATATATTCATCCTCATACTGCAATGGTTTTTAGAACCAAAACTCTAAGGCTTAAGGCTTTGTCTTGTTAAAGACAGGCAATTTAAAAAGAAAAATATAAAAACTCTACTCACTTATCATTGTTCACTTACTTTCTGACAGAAAAATTAGTTATGTTTTATTGTATCTTAATAGTAAGAGAAAAATTACCACGCACTACAGTCTATTGTTCCACAGTACAGTATGTCTACAGAAATATATGTTAGTTTCTGGATGCACTGCATTTGAGGTTGTTCAAAATAGTTTTTCTTAAAACTATAATTAAACATGAAAAGTTTTAAAAGTGGTTTAAAGGTATTAAAATATACACTTTTGAATAATACTAAGAATGAGAAAATACACAATTGCCATTAATATTTTTTAACCAAGAAAAAGTACTTGATACAAGAAACTAGATGAGTAAATACCACTTATTGGACAAAGATGTTGGGAGAGGGAGGGGCAGAGAGGAGAGAGATGTCTCGCTAACACCACAGCGCTGGTCCTACAGGAGCTCCACCCGACCTCTAGGCCAAGAGTCGGGGTGGATGACGAGCATGTTCTGTCATTAACAAGAACAACAGAGAACAAAAAGAACACAGAGGGAAATAAACAGAAGATTCCACAGAGCACACACCCTTGCCGGCCCCACCTGCTCCCGACGACAGGGCCCAATGTGACCGAGGAGCCCATAGTAATCAGCAGAATGCCCCACAGACAAGAGCGGGGGCAAAAGCAGGGGCGTTAACAGCCCACACACTGTAAAATTAGCCCCTTCCCACTTCAGAATCGACCGCGCCTTCACGTCATCCTCTCACAGCCCATTGTGTTTGGGAGGCAGATAGCTTTGCTCCTTTTAGCACAAATACTTAAGTCAAATACAAGCATATACTCATTTGCATAGCAAATTTTAAGGGGTGCATTGAAATAGTACCCGACTGATAACGGTATACATATTTTTACAATCAGAATGACATTCAAATTGACCAAGTAAAACATTTTCGACTTGAAAACAGTCACCTATAAAAGTTTTGGGGATCCGATTTAAAAACAAGGCATGAGTTGTTAGCAGAACATCACAACCACCACCGCTGTCCTCTCCGGGGCAGGAGTCATTCTTCTATGACCTCCAGGACTTTGTAAACACTGTTCTGGAACACCGTGGTGAAGTGAGGCTCGGACTCCTTCACCAGGAGGTTGCACAGGGGAGGCTTGCCGGCGTTCGCGGGGTCTTCCACGTCCCAGATCTCAGGCATGCTGCAGCCGGGCCTGAGGGGGGCATGCTGGGTCAGGGCGCGCCACGGCGGACAGGGCAGAGGGTGTGCCTTCCGTTCCCACCCTCCTGTCCTTTTCTTCTACCTAGCTTAAAAAAATCTCATCAAATTGTTCATGTTTGTGTAAGCTGCCACTAAGTCCTCCTCAGAACAAGGTGAACACAGTACAGGTAACTCTAAAGAAAAGACCTACGAACTACAGATGATGTGGTTAAATTCTGCCTCAGCTCCCTGCCCAAACCGTGAGTGTGCAGAGCTCACTCCCTTGCTCCCCAGAGCTGTGACTCGGGGAAACTCCCACTTCGCAGCCGTGCTATGTGGGTTAAGAAGGGAGGCTATTCCTAGCATCAGGCTCAGCACAGAGTAAGAGGTCATATATTACATTAATTTGAAACATTGTAATAGGCAAATACGCTTAGTTCCCGTTTATGCAACTTCCCGTTACCTGTGTTCCAGAATGAGTCAACTTCAAGAAAATCCTGTAGTGTTAGACTCTCATCTTAACCAAACACGTAATTAAATCATGAAAGCAATATATTTGTTTAAAGAATAGTAGAAGTAAAATTTGTATTGTGTGATATTTATCCCAATAAGTTCTTCAAGATAACTGACATTTATTTTAAATCTAGAACTGTTGCTTTGGCTGGGGTTCACAATTTCTTTTCCTTCTTTCTTTCTTTTAATAGATTGAGGATTTGTATGTTACACTTCAAAATGTCAGTCTTTTTTTTAGAGCTTATGATTTTTTTATGTCTTCTTTAAAGAATTCTTCCCTATCATAATATTGTGAAAATATGCATGTACATTCTCCTGTGAAAGTTTCAGAATTCTGTTTCTCACATTTATAGGTATTCCTCATACAGAATTAAATTTTTCTGTGTGGTATAAGGTAAAGATTTAATTCTCATTTTTTTCCAGATATCGCAGATAGCTTAAAGTAGCTCTTAGTCCAATTGTTATTTATCAAATCCATTCTTACACTCACTAATCAGTGACACATTATTTTCAAGTCCATTTTGCCTAATTATCTATGACCACTAAGTGTAATAATTGATTCAAGTGAGAAGAAAAACTGGATGCAAAAAGTACCTGGTGAAAGGCTGTTGAGAAAGTGTATAAACCAGTTTATCTCAGTTTTACTCTACAGGTTTCTTATTAATTATAAAGGAAACCCCTCTCCTTAACTGGAGAGCAGGGAACACAGTCAGCACTCCCGTCAAGCACTGGACCCCAGCACCGCCAAGGCCACACCAGAGCGGCGCGCCCCCACTGCAGTGCCGCAATGGCCGGTGCGCCCGCCTTCTCCCCACACCTGCCACCCTGCATGCAGTCATGAGGAATGAGTCAGGTGAGTCCACCGCAGCGACGTTCTTACAAGACCACTGGCCTGGACTCTCCCAGATGTCAACAGAAACAGAAAAGTACAAGGAACAATTACAGACCACTGACAACTACTTACATTCTGCCATAGCTATGTCACTCTCTTTGTAAGAGTTTCCACCAGCCCCTCTTGTCCCCAGTGGCAGCCCCCTGCCCTGCCCCCCCCACCAGGAGGCAGCACTAGGACATCACCTTGAATGGAAAGGTAAAAAAGTGTCCAAAAAGACCCATCAAAACAAAACCCTGAACCGCCCCGCCCCCTGCAGCACCGTTCTCAGAGGGGACTTCTGCTAAGTGCCCAGCACACACCTGCTCGGCCTTTGCTGTCTGCGTTCACATGCGCGCACAAACACAGGCACAGACTTTTACATCTACACAGATGCTCCCGGCTGCTCTGACAAAAATGGTATAATCCTGGGACTCCGCACTAGCCAATGAAATGCGGCCATTTTCCGTCTCATTCCTTAAAGACCTACTTTCTTCTTTTTAACTGTTGCTAGTACTCCTATACACTGTATGACAGTATTTAACCACTCTTCTATGGATGAATATTTTAATTGTTCCCTATTTACTGCAATAAAGCAACACTTACACAAACATCTCTGGGCCTTTCTGCAAGCTAAGTTCTAGAAGCGGAACCATCACTACAAGGGGCCATGCACTTCTCACACTGCTTGCATCAAACTGTCTCCCCAAACGGTTTTCCCGTGCAGGGTGCTCGGTGCATACTTTCGCGCACCCTGGCAGACACGGAGCACACACCATGACAGGACGGGGCTCAGGTTGCCTACCTTCTAATTTTCTCCTGCATCCCAAGGCCACACTGTCACCGCGTTGCCAGCCAGCGGCAGCGGAGCACAAAATACACAGGAAGCAGCAAACCACCCAGCTCCCACGTTCCGCTGCTCCGCCTGCCTAAGTGCAACCTTCCTCATCCTGATCAGAATTCCCGAAGTTTCCGCAAGCCAGCCAGCTACATCTTCACATGGCATTAGTGAAAACCTGAATAATTTCTTCTGAATTCATGCACTTTAATTTCATGTCAACTCTATTACAGGGATTCATAAGAAAGCAGAGACCTGAGAATAAAGGAACAGTTAATTCAAAGCTCATCCACAGCTTGCGTTTGAGTGTACTTTCATGCGTGTATTTAAACACAGGGTGTCAAGTATTTAAGGAATAATCATGCCACACAATCAAGCCACTTGTAAATGAGACCACAGAAGCAGGTCTCACCGAAGTGCCAGGCACGGCTGAACCCGTGCCAGGGCAGCGATGCTGACCCTTCCCTTTCTTCTCCTGTGTGAGGTCCTCACTCGATCCCCTGTTCTGACGTAGCCTCCTGTCTCAGTGGCACTCGGGTGTCTCAGGCTGGCACAACTGAACTGTGGGTGAGGGCCAGGGTGGTGGGGGGGGAGTCTGTGAGAAACTCAGCTCCCCCCACTGCAAAGGCAGGCGCTGAGTACTGGTCTTCCTCCCCGTCCTGCTCTACGAGCTCCCCACCCGCTTCCCCCACCAATAGAGGGCGAAGTGTGTGCTGTTTCAAGGACTAAGCATAGACCCCCTGTCTGAGGTTTCCAAGACTTGTCATCAGTCTGGCTTAAATCTTGTAGTAGACAGTGTTGTACTGACCAAGGGGGTAACAGGTTAGAGAAAGTCCCTTCCTTCGCTCCCTCCCTCCCCACTCCTGCTGCAACCAACAGGACAAGGGCAAACCAAGGTCCTGATCGGAAATCCAGCACTCCCCTCCCCCAGCTCAAACTTGAGGCCGGCAGTGAGCTCTCAGTGGGTGCACTCTGAAGCCAGCTAACTCACGACTGACTTTGTCCAGGGTGCCTATGACCTGCCGCACTTCCTGCAGTTGCTTTTCATCCCTCCCGGGTGCAGAAAGCACTCTGCTGTCCAAACAGAAAACCACGACTTCAGCCAATCCTGGGCTCTCCCTCTGCATCTCAGAACATAAACCCTCAGCCTCTGTGATTCCCACAGATTCAGAACACTATGCAAGGGTCCAGGGGAAAAGTGAAGAATCTTGAACAAAGGCTCGTCATTAGCTTGGGGGAAAGGTCATGAAACACGACATTTTTGCTCCAGCAACTGACAGGTATCTCTGGCTGGCAGAGCCGCAGTGCAGAGAGGGCCAGGCAGGCGGCCAGGCAGTGCCCAGTGCGTGGGAATCGAGCGCTTCTGACGGCAGGCGTCAGCCCGCTGCTCAACGTCCTCAGAAAATTACCATGGGAGAAGCTTGCGGCTGTTGTGTCCTAAGTTCCCATGACCAAGTTAACTGAAGGTGAACGTATGGATTTCGTGTACGTTCTTACGTTCAGAAGGACTTAGGGCATTTTCTGAACTGTGACTCTAAGAGCAATAATATTTTCTATAGATCCTGGTTCAGTTCAAGTCACTTGCGACATTCACAGAAAACCACTCAACAATCCACAAATGTCTCAGTTTCCTCGTGGGCAATGCTGGCAGACAAACTATCGCAGAACTATTTTTACTCCCGAGTGAACATTTAATTATTCTGTCTTAGCACCGTTGTGTAAGACTGAAATGTGTGGTGAGTAAGTATGATTAAGAACAGATACGGCAACCTCCTGAAGGCTTCTTTTTAATGAGGAGTGAGAAGTAATAAAATAACAGCACTCCATAAAACACCCTTGACTTCTGGTGAAACTGTGTGCGTCTGTGTCCCCTGGAGTAGGTGTCACCTTGTCACCCAGTGCACCACAGCAGTCAACTGAGGGACTCGCGCTGGCTTTGAAACGCTCGCTAACTCTGGCTGCTCCTCTCTGCCTACTGAACGCCTCTGTGAAAAGAGACGTTTTTAAAACTAAACCCAAGAGCACACAGGTCTGCGAAAAATTTCTCCCCACCCAAGTAAGAGGTGAAACAGCAAGAGAGAGGCTGCAGTCCAGCTGCGTCTGTCCACCAGGGGATGCGCCAGGGGACATGGCGCAGGGCTGGGGGCGAAGGAGGCCAGGCCCTCAGCGCCCCACTTACGCTGCTGCCACGAGACTCTCCACTGTTTAGTCTCAGACTCCACATACACGGCTTTTGAAAGAAAGTACACTGAACTTGAATGTAATAGATTTAAAAAACAGGTGAATGGGATTAATTCAGGAAACTACCTGTTGGTGCCTATATAATACCTTTAAGAAAAGTGTACACATGCAAATCATTATAAAGAGATATTTATAATGACTACAAAAGAAAACTCCAAGTTGAATAATCACCTTCAAGTTTGTTCCCACCGTGCTTTGCTAAACGCGGTCTATGCCTGGCGCGTACAGCCTCACAGCGGAGCCGATGGAGTAGCTCCGCGCCCCCACCTCCCCGGCCAACCGCGAGCCCCCAAGCCAGGAGACTACTCACTTGGACCTGCGCACGCACCAGGACTCCTCCAGGATGTAGTAGTTCACCTGCAACTTCACCAGCTCCCGCTTCACTTCCTCAGCTGCCTTCCGGCTGTACATTGAGTACACGATTTTCGTTCTGGCTCTTCAAAGGGAAATAATTGGGGAGAAGGCCATCGAGGTTAAGAGGCTGCAACCATCCAGTTCGGTGGCAGCTCTGAATGGGGCCAGGAGACAGACAACGTTGAAAAACTTCCATGGCTGGGACACACTTCAGGGGAGTCCTCCAGGCACCAGGGAGGGAGGCCGCGGGAAAGGGCAGAAGTGGACCCCAAGTCCCGGGAGGAGGGGCTGCCACACTTAGGCTTCCTGACTGTCTGCTTGCTTTTGTTCTAAATTCTTTATCGACCACTCTGTCACAGATAAGAGCCGGGTTCCCTGTGTGTGGACGGGAAAGAGCTGCACAAACAGGACCACGGACGTCTTAAAAGCCACAAGGGCCCCAACTTTCACACCAAGAACAACCAGCATTCGATGGTGCACCACTTTATTCTGGGCTTTTTAAAAGCTAAATTCACTCAAAATAATTGCTCTGGAAATTACCTTTCCAGAATTCTTTTACTGAAAAACTTTTTACTTATAAATAGTTATGTCCCGCTGTTAGTCAAAAGAACATATTAATAGGATTTACCTTTTCAGGAAATTAATAATCTGATCTACCTTACAAACTGCACAAAAATGAAATCTATTTCAAAGAGAATATACTTTATGTGTTCATGAAAAAATAGTAAAAAACAAAAAAGACCAAAACCAAAAAAACCAAAAACAAGCCCATCATTCTAACAGGTTATACTGGTGAAAACCAGAATAAAACCCTCTTTGAATGGGACTGCATTTCAACTGACTCCTGAGAATTCATGGAAAATGGCCCATGAGAAAACCTTAATAGAAATGACAGGCTAATGAACCTTTAGGGGAACCTGACGATGACTGAGAAGCCTCTCGCTTTGAGGCCTTGCCGACCTGCTGAAGACTGACCTGCTGGGACGCCTTCGGCTGCCTGGTAGACCAGATGACCCAAAGGCGGTAGCTGTGTGTCGCACCCCCCACCCCGAAGCTGTAGCACTTTTGGACCTGACTTGGCATTTTCTCAGTGTTCCTCCCCCAGCTCCACAAATCCCAGCTCACCACCATTTCCTTTTTTAAACCCTTCTTGGCATCTGCTGAACAACGTGAGAACTCTGTACTAACCTCAAACCGGCATCTTCATAATGTGGGTGATTCACAACGGGCCGAAGTGCGGACAGTTTCACACTCGCCATGGTGGGCATGGCCCCCGCAAACACTGCGTCTGCGAAGCAGGAAGCAAGTTTTCAGCGAGACCCAGGAGGAAGTCCGGGGCTGGCACAGTAGGTAGCAGGCAACTCCCAAGCCCCGGTGAGCGGTTTCTTTGGAAGACAGTCTCATCTCACCACTGAGATTGTGTGTGTGTTTTTAACATCTTGGATATCTTTCCTGATTCTAGGAAAGTATCAAACTAAGAAATTTTTATGACACTAAAAAATTCTGTAGATGATTTAACATCAGTCATTTGATACTCAAATGACAACATCTCCCTTCTTAAATGTGAATAAAGATTCCATGAGTTTGCTTCAGAAGGCATTTGAAGGGCTAAGACTAAAAATTCATTAGGAAAATAAGCATTAAAATTATTTTAAACTGGCATGTAAAACTTTGAAAAAATTAGAATTTATGGAAAATAGCAAAATTAATTATGAAGAAGCTATGCATAGCATTTCCTTTGCAAACCACTTGAGTAAGACTGACATTTCTCCCTCTTTTTGGTTCTCTAGAAGCAGCATTGATTAGAAAGAGTAAGACTTTGGCAGTTACTCGGGTTTAGGATTTAACAGTGGTATGCAAGACTTGAGAAAAACGCTCCTAAATAACACTGTTTTTACCTGGTTTAGTACTATATTTGATCCACTCTATAAGTTCTTCTTGTGGAAAATTGCTGAATTCCCCTACAATATTCCACTGGGTTTGCAGATTTGCTGAACCTTGTATTGACATCGCTGCTAACAGAGCAAAAACAACAGCACCAGGATGCACTTTGCAAAAGAGCCATCCAAACAGCTGAAACCAAGTCGGAGACACATTGGTGATTGTTAGTGGGAAGCAATATGTATCCAATAAGCAGCAGTTCTTCCCAGAGGACGACGCAGTGTCTGCTAGAGGCCCAGATAAGCCTTCATTACCCTAGGGAAAAGTTCCAGAAGCAATGACCCTACCAACCACAAGATTCCACCACCAGCCTTCCACGAGTGGGCCATGATTTAAATCATGTTTAAGTCGAGTTCTTCTCTCAACTTGCTCTCTCTATTCCCAGAGCCAGGCAAGGCCAGGTTCACTGCAAAATGAAAATGTGGGGCCCCTCGTTCAAAGATTGTTAAAAAGATCAAAACGGCAACAACAGAGCAGGAAGCGAGTGCAGGGTGCTTCTCGGTGTGGGCCCCTGCACCACCAGGCCAGCCCAGGCACCTGTGGTCATCGATCACACTGCTGGTGGGCTTGAAGGGACAAGCTTCCACCCACGCTCCTTTCCTGTCCGGGCCTGGAGGAGCCAGGCACTGCAGCCTCACCCTTCATCAGCCTAACTTGATCACAAGCTGCCTGGGAACCTTCCATATGCAAATAGTCCCCTCTCAATAAAAACACTTTGTCTTACTTCCTGAGGACATACATACAGAAACTTCTGGTTTTGGACTTTTGCACCTACCACTCTATCCCCATCCCCAGAGAGTGGTTTAGATGCTTAGTAACTAATGCTAATTCTGCTACAGCAGAATTAGGCCAGAATTAGGACACCTTGTGTCCTTGACTGATGAAAAGGTGACCATGTGGAAGCCATAAGTCTGTGACTGCAGAGCCAGGAGGCAGGTATCTGGGGAAAGTCAGCAGCGAGTAGCCATGTGGCTTCAGCTCAGTTTCCAAGTAAAGCCTTGAAACAGAGCACACATTTGTATACACACGTATGCTCAATGAAAAAGAATTAAAGCTTAATACTGAAAGACCATATAATTTGAAAGTACTTAGAACTTGAACTCAATTGTTAGAATTCTTTGTAAGATGAATGTCAAAACAAAAAATTATTTCTACAATTAGGCTCAGCTTTCTATCAACATCTGCAGTAATCATTTGCGAATTCACGACACTGATGGTTTGTTGTTTGGCAGGACTATTTTAGAAGTTAGAAGAATAGAAAATGATCAGCTCTCAGGAGTTTTTGTGGGCTTTTTAAAACCATCGCTTAGGAATAATTAGCACAGACCCAGGAAGGACTTCAGTGGCAACCATTTAAAGAACTCTGGGGACTCCAACACGGTTTCTGGGCCCTCAGTAACGAGGCTGCGGCCGCTCACAGTGCCGCAAAGCCCACGTAGCCACCGCCTCACCTGCCTCGAGCAAATCAGAGACGCCATCACACACATGTGCGGCGTCAGAAAGAGCTTCAGCCTCATGATGAGGACGCCCAGCACCGTGTACGCCACCAGCTGCAAGGCATGATAGACCAGCTGAAAGAGAAGGGAGACCGCTCTGACGCCCACTGTCTGTGAAGTTCAAGACTATCATTAAAATGGTGAATATGCAGAGAAGGGCACTTTTTCTTAGTAACAACACTTTAATTTCGGAAATAAACAAGTCTTGAAATCCACTTTCCAGCGTCTCCATTTCAGTAGAGGGCTAAGATTATACAATTGCTAAGGCAAGTGGGTCTGCTGCCCTGCTCAGGACCACGTCTGCAGTTGAAGAGCCCCCATGTCTGCACCCCCTGGGTGCACCCACCCAGCACGGAGGGAACTCGGGAACTGCAAGTGACCTCTCTTCCAGACCCCAGAGTCCCACCGTGAGGCAGCCATCAGAACCCACCTAAAATACATGGCACAGTACTGTCCACTACTGTCACCACGCTTCTGCTGAGAGCGCAGACCTCAGAAGGTCTCATCAGAAGGAAGAACAATAACCTGTGTAACTGAGTATGGTGACAGATGATAACTAGATTAACTGTGCTCATCATTTTGCAGTGCACACGTCTGAATCACTGTGGTATATACATGAAACTACATATAATATAATGTGATATGTCAATCACGCTTCAACTAAAAAAAAAAAGAAAAAAACAAAACAAAACAAAAAACCCCACCAGGCCGAATCCCTAGGAGATGGGAGTAGCTTGTATCTCCGAATCCCCAGGCCGGGGAGCAGGAGGAAAGTATCTCTGGTCACACAAAGGACACCCCCAGGCCTCCCTGGGGGCTCCAGCGATAGCCTGCTGGGCTGCGAGGACGGTCACAGAGGCTGGAGGGCGGATATGTCTGTGACCTCCTACAAGCACACGCTGGCCAATTGGGGAGATGATTAGTGACAGCCACTAACAAACGCAGAGGCCAGAACTAGAAAGAAAAGCCCAAACACACACAAACACTAAAATGAGGTACATGTTAGTTAACACTGAGTCTTACCTCTCCGTGATCAAACTGGTGTTTCCTGAAATGGAAAAAGAAGTACTATTAAATAACTGTGAAGGCACGTAACTTCAACTACTTGCACTTCTATCTTACAAATACAAGGTCTTACAACTTGTGTAGGATTCCCTCAGGGCACATGTATGTAAAGCAAAATAACTATAACAGCTACAAACCAAAACGGCTACAGTTTTTTGAGAGTTTATTGGGGAGAACACAATGATGCTGCATGTCCTGTAGATCTGGCTGCATGCTGTGGCGTGTCAGCCACTTCACTGGTGATCTCCCGGCAGGGCGGGGATGGAAGAGGAACTCCGAGGCCTTCCCAGTACCCCCAGAGGGCCCCCAGCCCCCTCATGAATGGGAAGCCACATCTGGGAAGTTTTTCAGCAGCATCTCTGGAACACACGAACAGCCTCGAAATTCCTTCTTCCGCTCTGCTGGACAGTCTGAATTCCCAAGCGGATGCGTGCTCAGAGGCCCTCCCCTGCACCCCCACTCTCCACCGGGCTCTGCAGATTCACATTACAGCGGGGTGGCCCATGGGAAATGGGAATCCAGGCAGGCACCCCCATACCGAGACCCTCCAGGGGCTCTTCTGGAACTCCCACAGACTCTCCGATTCCCACGCCACTCACGATCTTCCCACGCCAGTCCCCACTTCTCATCCCTGAATCTCCTGTGCGACCTCATTCCTGAGCAGCAAGGCCCCATCACACGAGGCTGATTGATGCCGCTCCTTCCAGCCTCCAAGAGGTGCCCTGACTCCTGGGATTAGCACCCCTCCTCAATCCCTTCTACTTCATCTTTCCGGTTTGCTTCCTCTCAGAGAACAACATTTTCACTGGTTTCCTTCACCATCATCTGACTCTCCCCACTAAGATGCACCCTTCTGGAGCCCAGGGTGCAAACCCACCCCAACTCAGGCCCACAGTGCACCAACGGCACTGGGCACACAGCAGGAATGGAGGGAGGAGCCCTCTGCCCCCACACAGACCTCGACGGGGAGGACAGGCAAACAAAGAGGGTCCTGGACCCCATATCAGGTCATGAAACTGTCTTTCCCACGGTACCCTTTCCTTTTTATATGGTGCATGACTCTGGCACGCAGGCAAAAGGAAATGTCAGAGTGCCAGTCTCCAGTCGAGAAAGCTCTGGCCCTCCCTGCGGTGAAGCCCCATTCAGCTCCGTGGTGGTTTCCAGTTGCTTCCACAGCTGAGTCATGGACTGCTGAAGGGAGCTCTGTTCCTGCGAACAGTTCCTCCTTCCTCCCCGAGCTGCACATCACGGCTGTAACTCGGAATAACACCACAGTCTGTGCACGCCTGCCCGGCTCTTCAAGAACAGCTTCAGCCCCAGTGCAGGGGCAGTCCGGCACTACGTCCAGAGTCAGGTCCTCTTCCTCGGCCCCCAGAGGCCCCACATGTAAACAAGGGCACGGCTGCAGCACACTGCCTCTAAATGACACCGAGGACAGTTTCTGTGCCACGTGCAACAATTTACTCTGCTCACTGGAAGAAGTTTGTAGGTGAGCGAACAATAAATAAGGCTGTGTGTATTCAAGTTATAAAAGAAGACACGGACACATATACTGAACATTCCCTAGACCCTGTGAAGTCTGGCAAAAGCCTGGAAGCAGAACTGAAACTTCCTTTCCCCCACCCTCCAATCCCACACTCTTCCTTGTTACAGGTTTCATCCTTCCAGTGCCTTCCTGTGCACAAGGGAACACACCGACCTCCCTACTTTAACGGAAGTGCACTCCAGGTAACACGAGGACTCCGTGGTGCCCAATGGAAACGCTCCCATGCAGAAGGCCCACACCCCCAAGAGGCAGGGATCTACTCAGAGATGATGGTCGGGGGAGGCTTCCTGAAGGAGGGGACATTCAGGCAAGGACTGGAGGAGTTGGCCGTGCAAACAGCCAGGCTGTGGGGCAAGGGGCGCGGCCCTGGGCTGGGGCACGACCCCGGCGGAACCACGGAGGCAGGAAACTCCGGGCTGTGTTTGGGCCAGGAGCACAGAGGTGGCTGGCGGGGCAGCAGTGCAGTGGGAAAAGGAGAGGAGAATTCAGTTCACACTCAGCTGCTGTTTATGTCCTTCACTCATTTTCCTAACAGGTTTTCAGTATTTTTCTTATTAATAGAAACTCTATGTGATGGTCATTAGCCTGCTGTCATAGAATACAAATATTTCCCCCAATTTGTATTTTTCTTTGACCAATACTTAGTGTCTTACCAAACCAAACTATGCATCTGGTCAACCTTGTCATCTTTTCTTCTAGCTAACAGGTTTTTCTGTTATACTTAACAAGGCCTCTCTAACCCTAAGATTATAAAAATAATCTCGGTGAATTTTGAGGTTTCCTTTTTTCCTGTATTTAAATCTGTGCTCCATCTGGAATTTACTTTGCACGAAAAGCAAGGCGTGGGTCCGGTTTTGCAGGCCCTGCACGTCCCCTAGCAGGCAGTCTGTGAGTCCTGAATCCGCCACTAGAGCCCTTCACTCTCCCTGCGGGGCAGAGGCCCAGCACCGCGTCCTTCAGGGGCAGGTGGGGTGTGCGCGGGGCTGCAGTGGACGCGGCTGCCTGGGGCCTGTGGCGTGAGTAGGGGATGTGCCGAGCTCGGCGCAGGGAGGAAATGAGAGCAACACACACAGGGATGACGACAGTGGAAAACACTGATCAGCAAAGGCTGAGTGGACAGCGAGTCACTGTGCACTGAACACACTCTGAACGTCTACTTCATCACAGATGGAGGGGGTAACAAAACAACGTGTTGCACACTTACCTTATATGTGTCTGCTGTTTAGTTAAGACACCCCACATGTCACTAATAATCTGCAAACAGATTTTAAAAAACACTTTAGAAAGCTGTTTTGGGAAAAGCAAAATTTCAATTAAAGTGTCTTCTAAACTTCCAAACTTTTACTTAAATATAAGTATGGAGACAAGAGACAGCTCAGGCAGCAGTAATTACAACAACATAATCTTACACATGAACAGAACTCGAGCAAACCTAACACCCAACAACCCTGTTCAGGTGCATTTACTGTCCTGACTTTGTAAGTGACAGGCTCAGATGGAATAAATGACCATCAGGAAGGTGGTGATGCACCGCTGGGTCTCCGAACCTGACCTTTGCTCCCAATTCACACTTGGTGATTCCCACCACCCAGGGCGCTACTGAGTTCTCCTGGTTAGCAGTGCCCGGGAAGCCATCTGATCCAAAAACTCCCCCCATCCCCACCCCCCCAGTAAGATGTCCTCCACCTGCTGACAGGTGTGAGTCCAGCTGTTGAAAGAAGTCCCCAGCCACTGCCTGAACCTGTGACACCTTCCAGGTCAGGCCAGATCGACTTTGGTCAAAGGCCCTACTGCCAGCAACTGGCCCTAGTTCTTAGGAGCCAAAATGAAAATAACCTCATTCCTAAGTGGCAAGCTTTTAACTGTGTGGAAACAATGATCCTCTTTCCATTCGAATCTTTCTTCTTCAGTCAGACATCCTACCTCTTTAATTCCATCTAAATGTTTTCGTCACTTAGCCACCCAGACGGCTGTCTTTTAATGCACCTGGATCACCAGCATGCAGTATTTTTTTATTTCTTTCTGGGTGCAGACCCACATGAAGCATGCCATAGTGCAAAGGAAGCAGAGCGCCGGGCACGCTGCAGAAACTGGTGAACCCTAACCCAGGTGGATGAGGGGCTGTGAGACCCCACAGCTGGAGGCTGCACGCCGTCTGTGAGGGAGGAGAGTGTGCAGCCCGACTCTTGCTCTCCCCCTGCTTGTCAGTGGCCGCGCTGTGCAGCCGCCAACCACTCCCGATCTTCCCATTCTGCATCTCAGCACAGGGATAATAGTGTCTGTGCCCCTCACAGGGCTGTCGCGTAACCGACTAAAGCAGCCCGTGTGGAATGCTTTGGGGAAGCACAGATATGTGATGTGAACAACATTTACAGCAGCGAACATTCTCCAAGTGTACAGCACTGTGTGGAAACAGAAATCCCGAGCTGCAAGTCGGAAAACTTTCAGGGTCTATTATCTATGTTTCTATTACAGATTAATCTCAATTCACTCTGTTAAACCACCTACAGTTAAGTTCACCAGTTCTTCAAAGGAAAAAGAGACCATCACAACTGCTCTTCAGGAAAGACGGCAACTTCCCCGCCCGGGTTCCCATCTGGGCTTTGGGTTTTGTGATCAAAGCCAGGCGGGCAGTCTAAGCGTTTTAGTGAGTTCACAATACACGTTAACATCCTACTTGTCCGTTTTGATTGGTAACTAATTGGACCCAGGCGTTAGTGAACGCCACACACAGGACTCAGAAAGGCCCACATTAAAGAGTTCAGAGGCACAGTACCAGAAAGTTAAAAGCAAACTGGTGATAACTTGCAGAGGCATCTGGGCCCACAGGTCCTCTCTGACCCTGTCTCTCAAACGCAGGACTGTCACATCGGCACACGAGCCACCTCCCTCCCCACGGCTGTGTCACGCTGGCAGACAGCAGAGCATTTGTAAGGCTCGTACATGTTCGCCAAAGGCTCTCGGGAGGAAAATACAGACCAGGTTTCCGTGCATCCATACAGAGTGTTGTCGGGTATACCCGGAGCCCAGCGCTCTGACCCCCTCAAACACAGAGAAAACGTTTTGTCACAGGGAAAAGCTGTCACGTGAGACGCATACCTTTCTGAAGATCGAGATGAACACGACGAGAACCACTGGAAGCAGCAAAGTCTTCGTGTACCTCAGGGGAGTCTGAAACGCAGACCTTTATTAGAGGAGTGTCACTCTGAACAGGCAGAACTTCTCCCTAGGCAATAAACCAAGAGAATCGCAACACGAGGGTTCCCCCAGTGAGGGTCCAACCTGACCACAGGCTCCCATCAGAAAAACGGAAGTGCACGCCCATAGAAACAAATGTCCCCAGAATGTCGAGCTGCAAACACTAACAGATACAGTCCCCGAACACACGTCAGTGTGAAACTCGACTAGAGATTACTGTTTGCCTTCTGGCAACCACTTTCCTACCTCAACTCACTACTCGCTCTGGGCAGCAGGCTCCCTCCTGACCCCCGAACAGCCTGAGCTTTCCCTGCAGAGCCTGTGGGGGCCAAATGTCTCAGCCACAACCCCTCAACACACACACAGTGACCGGTGTTTGCAGGAAGAAGGACACTTTGGCGATCTCTTTAGGAAGAGATCAAAACAAAACCCCACTGCACCCAAACCGTATGCAGCAAAGCCCTGCACGCTGCGATCCTGCCCCTCGAAGTGATCGGAGGTCGGGCCTTCAACCATCGGAACCGCAAGTTCTCAACTGCTGTCGATTTGCTTACCACCGCTTTCCCTCACAACACAATTCTATATTATTGAGTCAAATAGTACACACTTTCCCCAATGTGTTTATAAAGAGAAATCTAGTTTCGACTGTATTAAAATACTGGTACATTTTAATTCTACAAAATATTGAGCATTTTATGATTTTCCCTCTTAGTAGTCCAATTTCTCTCATTTATTTTTCTGTATTAGATGAGTAATTTTGGTAATTTATTACACAAAAATGCATACTTCATGAGTTAGAAGTACTATTAAGAGAATTTAAATGTTCTTACTACTTACCTTTATAAACATTTGCATAGTACTTACTATTTTAAAATATATTTATTTTGTAAATTTTAAATTATGTCTCAATCTAAGCAAAAATCATAACTGAAACTATCTTAATATTTTAAAAAATAAGGTATTTTCTAATAACTAGCAAATGTAACAAAAGTTGTAAAATACAGGTGTGTTGATCTTAAAAAGGTCACGCATCATAATTGTGTTAGAAACATTTAACAAACTTTAACAAAATGTTCAAAAAATTTTAATGTTATAACCCAAAAGCTTAAAAGGTATTTTAAAATATTTCTTTCTCAAGGAAAATCAGAAGGGCATGTCAATCTGGTTAACACCAGACTTTGACAGAAATACTTCTGACCCAGAGACAGTGGAGTCACTTATTCAAGAAACTCAAGACAAGATACTGATCGAAGACGTGTATCTAGCCAACCAGCCATCACGTAGAAAATACTGATAAAATACTTTGAACATGTAAACACTCAGGATTTTTGCTCCCAGAAGCCCTTCCCGGGGAATCCAGGATAAGGCAGGAGGGGCTTTGTGGAAAGAGAGGTGACAGAACAGTGCGCACAGCGACACGTCCTCATGATGAAGACACAGCAGGACTCAGCAGTGGGGTAAGGGGGGGAGAATATACAGGAAGTAATCTCACCAAGCACAGCATTACAGCAAATGAGAAAAGGCTGAGAAGCAGGGGAGAGGCAGGAAACGACCAAGCTCAGTGCAACCCTCAGAAGGAAACCATCAGAAAGGACTAAAGTTAATATACAAAGGTATTCACATAAAACAGAATTACAGAACTTGCTGAATATGCAAAGGTACACCAGAGAGAGTGCACGCACAGAACAAACGCAAAGGAGGCCCGGCTCACAGGGGGCTGCGTGTGTGCTGTTGTGCTCTGCTGCGGTCACCGGGTCTTTTGTTTCAATATTCCTCTGCTGCTCTTGACTTTGTCCTAAGCATACTCAATGGGTTAGATACACTCAATGTAAAAACTGGAAGATGCAGAAAAAACAAAGACAACTTCACACTTTAATCAGCTGCCAGCATCTCCTCCCCACTGGGCAGTCTATCTGTGTCCTTCTGCTAGTCCTGCGTACGTGTGAGGGTGTGGGGACATGTCTTTGGTGGGTGGAAGAGGGGGGTGAGAGTGGTGGGTACTTTTTAATTGATTTAAACAAACTCCTACACAAATTACAATCATCTCTAGCTTCATTTGTTATACTTATGGCAAGAATCATCCCAGTCAGTCAACTGCTTTTTGACTTTTGCAGTATTTAATGTACAGGCGTTTTAAGTTACATGCACACAAACCTATGAACCATTCTCACATGTGGTCTGAACTGGTTATTGTGCTTATTAAGAAATGCCCTGACTGGTGTAGCTCAGTGGATTGAGCGCGGGCCTGCAAACCACATGATCGTGGTTCAATTCCCAGTCAGGGCACATGCCTGGGTTGCAGGCCAGTTCCCAGCAGGGGACTCATGAGAGGCAACCATACACTGATATTTCTCTCCCTCTCTCCTTCCCTTCTCCTCTAAAGATAAATAAATAAAATCTTAAAAAAAAAAAAAAGAAATGAAGTTAACGCTCACTGAAATGTCTCTCAAATTTCCTTTTCAGGCTCTATTATTTTTAACACATAAGTGAACTGAAGTGAAATTTGGTGTATAATGTGATGCAAAGCTTCAAACCGACTCCCCACCCCCAATACAACACTCATGACGTACGATGCCCTTGACCCACTGCTCGTGTGCGCTCTTCCTCTCAAGTACAAACTCACGAACGCAGTTAAGTGTGTCCTCACAGGCCTGTCCAGCACTGTCAGTTTTTAACCATAAAAATGGCCCTCTCTTGGTTCCCTGTACTTTCAATATTGTTGCTGCCCATTCTCTTATCTAAAAGGGAAAGATTCCCTTACTGAGTTTCCTTTCTTTTCACAGCATATGACAATTAATGTACGTTATTGTAGAAAAGTTAGGAGATGCAAATGACAAAAAACGTGAATGCATATCTCCCCAACCAGAAACCGTCGTGAACATTGTGCTCTCACACTCTAGTGTGAGTAACGAAGACCGTACCGTTCTGTACGGTACCATCTCGCTCTATGTACATCTTCAGTGTCCTTCCGATCAGAACGCGGTCATGTAAACCGTTCCTGCCCCACCGCGTGGGCGGGCGCAGCACTCTGGACGCACTGTGACCGGTTGTCCCTGGGAAGGGCCCCATGGACAGGCGAATGGCAGGCTGGGAAGAGCACTGCCATTTTCTTCCCAGTGACCAAAGTCATGCTATGACCCAGTGACAGTTTCTTCTCTCTTGCAGCTGCGGGCTCACACTCCCAGGCTGCAGTGCAGGTATGTCTTCATTAAAGTTAAAGGACTTCTGGGTCCTAATTCTCTGCCAGTGTTTACCCTCTACTTCCTCTACCACTTTCTTGAAGGCGTCCTGACCGCCTATTAATGTGCACTTTGATGTCTTGCAAGATCCTCTTCCTTCCTGTCTTCCAGCAGATCCACACCACCATCTGTACCCTTCATCGGCCAGTGTGGGGCGAACCCACATACCAGAACGCAGGGGATGAAGGCCGAGGGGCCAAGCACAACTGCGGGGCGTGCCCAGCTCAGACGTCTGGCCAAGGCAGGGTTGGCAGTGTGGCGCACTACTGTCCACTGCTCTGGGACCTGGGACTCAGCCTGACCCAGCAGGGGTCGGGGGAGAAAATGGACTGGCAACAGAGGACTGCTGGCCAGTTTAACACATAGCACAGGAACAGTGTCTCACAGATAATAAAATATCATAGTGCACGAGGCCACAGAGGTGGGGTAAAAAGACCCATACATCCTGTTGTTGAACCAAAGCAACACACAGAGAACTGTGACATCGCATTTTCTATAAAACATTAAAACAGCCAAGTACCTTCCCTTGTATCTCGATCCGCGCTCACCCCGCCTGCCGGCAGCAATGCCGCTAGAAACCCGGAGCTAAGGCACAAAGAACGGGGGTCCCAGCTGGAGAACACTAGGTGGAACCGCAGGCTTGTCTCCCAACCCACTGACCTACTCTGAACACGGCTTCCTTCTAAACATCTGAATGTGGTGTTAGAAGGAAAATGCTGCTGGAATGAGAAACTTGGACTCAACCTTATTTCAAAGCAACGAGACCATTCAGACAGAGCCCTGTACACTGAGCGGGGATGTAAGAGCCTACACTTCACTGAATTAACGCTGCGCCTACAGAGAGGCAACTAGAAATGCCTCTGTGTTTACTCGTCTAAAAACCCGGGGGTCTGAATGCATGCCTCTAAATTACTCAAGTGAGGAAGGACCATACAGATCAGGGAGCAGCACTAACGGAAACAGGAAGAGCTTCCTCTAAGCCGCCAGATTCGTCTCCTCCTTCAAATTTAGGTGACAGCACGGAGGACAGAGTCTGAAACAACGGAACACCCTTGCTGAAGAGTGAATGAACCAAAACCTAAGGGAAAAAACCGGAAATCATATCTTACCTCCTTTTCCATGAAGTCGAACTCTGCTGCACAAGTATACAATAAAGTATCAAAATCCTTGTAACTGAAGAATTTTGATGTTAATAAGTTGCCAATATGAGCCTAGTAAGGAATAAAATGAGGTACCATTAGATTATGCCCTAAATTATAGTAATGCATTTTGATCTTAACAGTACCCCAAAATAGTTCTCACTACATTAGAGAGCTCGCTGTCCCCCCACAGTGAGCTTCTGTAAGCAAGAGGGCGCTGCACCCTCTGGCTGCACAGTTCCCTCTTCTTCTGCTAACAGACAAAAGCACCAGCACCACCCTGCTTCCAAGGTGAATCACCAACAAGCCAAAGTCTCTTGTCCTCATCTTGTCCCTGCTTGGCGTGCTCACCCTGGTGCCTCCTCTGCTGGAGCCTACCGGGATGGGTGGGCCTGGTGGCAAAGGCCCCTCTGTCCCTCATAAAAGGACCAAGTGCGACCAAGTGAAGAAAAGGATTCATTCAGATTTCTGGAAAGGGGACTGAAGACTCTTTGCAAGAGGCAGCAACTGCGCAGGCCTGGGGAAAGCATGCACTGCACCGCCGGCCGAGTCCTGCGGCACCAGGTGCTCTCGCTCACATCGGTCATCTGCTCCCCACAGAAAGCCACGTGAGGAATGCAGATTATTTTCACTGAACAAATGAGACATTTGCCAAACTTTTCATTCATTGTTGTCTAAAAAAGCAAGAACCAGAGACAGGCCAGGGGTGGGGCAGAATTACATCTAAAACAAACCATAACTGGAATCTCAGATGGCATCAGGATGATGGGGTGGGGTGGGGGGACCGAGGACCAGGGGGACCTGGGTGAGGGCGGGGACTGAGGGGTGGTAGGGACATGCTGAAGAATTTCAACACTCCTGCTGGAGAAAAAAATGTGTGCCAGTAAGTTTAAGGAATCAACAGGGAGGACAAATAGCACCTAAAACAGTGTAAGAAAACTATCTGTCCAATGAAAGGGAGAAAAAAGTCTAAAAGCAGGTAAAATGGAAACATAGATAAAAAAAAAAAACAGATAGACTTCATCTTGGAATTTGGCTTAAATAGTGGTATTTTAATATCGCAAGTAATTTGTAGCTTGTTTGATTCTTTCAAGTCTAAGCAAAAATGCACTCACATCATCTGCAATGCCAAAGAGTTTAGATGTCAAATACTTGAGAATGACAGTTCCAAATAACCAACAACATCCTTGGATAACCTGCAAAAGAAAATTATAACAACACAAAATAAACAGGTGCTTCCTGCAGCCACGTCACAGACACAGTCTGGGAAGGAAACAAATGCTTCAGTCCCATGTCAAATAACTATCTCCACGTGCAAGAGAAAATGCTTTAAAAAAGGAAAAAAAAACCACTGCACCTTTAATTAAAATAATGTTACTCCAATATCAAGGAGCTACCACTAAAACAAAACTATCTTATTGTAAAAGTTCACACACTGCACAGAAGACTTGCCCAGCAGCTGCGGTTCGAGTCCCGTCTACCACACCTTCTCACACACGGGCAACTCCTGAGCAACAACATGGACAATAAATAAAACTGAAATTTTTTACCTGTCAAATATTCATCTTAACTTGCCTCGTGAAAAGGACGATTTGCTACATTAAAATTGAGCTCTAATATGTCATAAAACTATTAGATCCCCTGCATGGCCTAGCCTGTTCCTTAAAAGTGAAACATAAAACCAATGCCACATTTTACAGAACAAAATCGTAGGCATTCAAATAAATTGATTCTTACCCATAAACTAAGTTCAGATACATTTATTTTCAGGAAATGTGGTTTCATTGCCAGTACACCCTGCACGGAGAACATAACAGAGCACACAGTTAATACTCACAATTTAGGTGCCGTAAAGTACCTCTAAACAGTAAGACTCACAAGAACCTAAAATTCAGCGCACTGTCGACATTCCACACGGAGTCGCCACCAGCTCACTAACTTCGAGAATAAGCCCTATTTTAACCAAAGTGGACTAGGTGAGTTAGTGACTTCGTTTAGCTGAAAACGGCATCACATATTAATTTTTATGAGTGACTCTTGTGTCCCTGATTTATCTAAAAATTAAGAAGTATAAAATAAATTCAGAGTTTTAGACAGAGATCTTATGGTAACAAGATTTTTTTTAAGTTAAATATGATTAACTCTTAGGATAAAGTACAAATAAGTTTTTAATGGATCAACTAAATACTTCATTATCAAATCTCATGTCTTTCCAAGTACCTAATAGATTCTGAAATATAATACGTACTGGTATCTAAGTCTACTTCAAACTTGGCAAAACACAGTCAGAGATCAAAATGTAAATACATGAACCCAAATGAAATCTTTTCAGAAGCTTCTGAATATGTGCAAACACAGACGTGTTAAAATTAATGTCTCAAAGTGATAACTCTCAACAAAAATAGGCCAATATTTGTTGATGGTTATGTATGCAAAAACACGCTATCTTCTGTAACTGTTGGCACTGTTTACATTTATATAACAAACTATGTGAAACATACATAAATATGCATACCTCATCCCTGTGACACACCTCAGTGTGAAGCACTTAGTAGGAAACCTGACACACTGTAGGTGCTCAACTCAACCAAGACAAACTTCCTGCAAAATGTACTTAGATTAGCTTTTACTGATGTGCCATCTTCCACAGTCAATGGCTTCCCTGGATTACACAAGTCCCAAGGGTTGGGCACTTGAACCTGAGTAACAGCAGACCTCACCCGTGTACACATGTAAAATAGAGAACTGAATTTCCACATTTCCTAATTACAAACATAATCCACCAACTATAAAAACTATCATTCTTCTCAAAACCCAGCAACTCAGTTCGTGAGTTCTTTTGTCACTGCTGAAAACACAGCATTGCCACGTGCTAATCGCCTTCTGTGACGAAATACACTCGTGTGGCACAACCTGAAAAGGGTGGTGCTGCAGACTGAAAAGAGGCCTATCTCTGAGAAATAAGGTCTAAGACAAATGCTACTTGTAAAATGAGACAAGGAAATAGGAGGTTCCAAACTCACTAATGGGCTTTAGAAATCCAGAAAGCCAAAGTGACTGGTGTAGCTTAAATGACTAGTCAGGTAACAGAATGCATTTCCATTAGGACAGTACAACGGGCTTTTGTCTTCCAGAAACCAGCTTCTAGTAAGTATAGGAATAATTTCTTTCTTCTCAGGATTACAAAATACTGTAATGGTGAAGCCCACTGATTTAAAAAAAAAGGCATAGCTCCTTCGGGAAGTCCTAAAATTCAGGAAAATGTGCGGTTTAGAAAGTTACCCCAGCGAAGTAGCAAAGGAGTTAGGTGGCCTTTCCTGGTTTGCTCTAATTCGTGCCACGGGTTCCTAATCACCTCAGCCAGCAGTGACTTAGCAAACTGCAGCGGAATCACCACGTGATTTAAACTATCTGAATATCTCACACAAGTAAACACGAGGGAACACCCCCAAAACCAAGGCCTCAGGCCTCCAGTCCAGGGGCATGAGGAGGAGAGACTGCTGGGAGATGCCTCCAGGGAGGAAAGGGGATCAGAGAAGGAGCATGAATAGGACAAAAACTGAAAAGAGGAGAGGACGAAAGGAAAAAGAAGCAAGCATAGAAACTTCTCTAAAATTAACCCTGGGACCTAAATCAGGTGGCAGAAATGATGAGGAAGGAGACAGGACAACGTAGACAGTGCGGCAAGGAGCTATGCTTTCTGACGTGAGCCTCTGGTGCTTCCTCGCTGTTCTGGAAGTGAGTACTCGAATGCTGGGTCTCGGGTAGATGCACACAGTAAAACCCTGAGACGCCCCTCACAGAAAACCCCTCACGAATCCCAAGCCAGTGATAACGAAACTGATAAACCATTAATTTCAAAAACAGCCATGTACTTAAAAAACACTTACCCAAATAATCACCAAAGAGGAAGCATAATAAGAAGTTAATAACATTGAGTTTCCAAACATCAAAACAAAACAAAGTGCAAGAGAAATCTGGAAAAATCCAAGAAAAATATAATTAATGCACATAAAACAAAAAAAGTTGCACATGCCCATGATAAACCAAATTCAAACTGTTCAAAGGGGAACATATAAAAAAATTAGCCCAAACCCTTCCCCACACTTCAACACCCGAGAGATCACCAATACCAACACTTTTCTATATCCTTCCAAACCTTTACATGTGCAAATTTGAGTTTATATTAAAAAAAAACACATGGAAACTTAACCCATAAGCTATGCTATTTCTTGCTTTGCTCTAAATTTCTTTCGGAGAGCTCCCCTAGCAATTCACACCCATCTCATTCGTTCTGTTGAATAAACGTAACCAGTCCTCCGACTACTGCTGCACACTCTCTGCTTTCTGGTGTTGCTCTGTTGTTATTTTGTATTTTTCTATACAAGCCTTGTTATGATATACATTCCTTCTTACACAGTTTACATACATGTCAATATAGTGAGGAATAAATCACTAGCAGTGAAATTGATGGATTAAAGGCACGCATTTTAAAATCTGAAAAAACAAATGGCCATGCAAAATACCGTATCAATTTACTCTCCCACCAACAGGGCACAAAGTTCCTGTGAATGCATGTTCCTGCATAATTATTATCCTTTTAAATATCTGCTGATATCATATAAGAAAAATGTTGCCTCGTTGTTTTAGTTTTCTTTTAATAATGAGACATGGCATCTTTTCTTCTATTTGCTGTTCCTGTTCTTACTGTGTTGTGAATGTGTGTGTGTGTGAACTGACTCATCCTACTGCCCATTTTTTTTATTGGGTTTTGGTTATTTCCTTTAAAAGCTCTCTTTACAGAACACTAAGTCATTATCAAGAAAACATAAATATTTTTATACACATGGATATTGAAAATGTGGTATATATGTGCACACATATAGGAATATATAGGGGTAGGCAAAAGTAGGTGTTGAGTACATGAAACAGTTTATTCTTACATTATTATATATTGCATTATTTATTTGTATTACAGTTGTAAACCTACTTTTGCCCACTCCTGTATACATGAGCATATACTGATATATGAATACATATGTGAATATGTGTGATACTATTCAGCCATAAAAAGGAAGGAAATCCTGCCATTTGCATCAACATGAACGGACCCGAGAACATTAGGCTGAGTGGAAAAAACCACTTAGGAGAAGACAGATGCTGCATGATCTCACTTACAGGAAGTACCTAGAGCAGTCAGGATCACAGACATAGAAAGCAGAACGCGGGGGGTGGTTTCTAGGTGCTGGGGGAAGTGAGACAGGGAATTGTTGTTCAGTGGCTACAGAGTTTCAGAAGAGTTCTGGAGTCTGGGTGCACTTAGTATCATGGATATGTATACCTAAAAGGATTAAGATGGTAAATTTTACGTTGTTTTTACCACAATAAAGAAATGGGGAAAATCCTATTTGGAGATAATTTATTTTTCCCCTTTATGTAAAACAGGAGTTTGTGAAGGGATGACGGAAGAAGATGCTCCCTATTTGGTAAGTCACACCATCAACCCAAGAGAGGCTGCACTGCGAGGGGAACCTGTGTAACTCGAGTGCTTCTGTAACTCTGGTCCGAGTCCTCATCCCCAGCTGCCCGGGTGGTTGTGTGACAGAATCTAAACACACTGAGGTTTTACTGCAATGTTAAAAAACTGTATTAAACAGTCTGGGGGAAAATAAGCCAAGTGTCAAAAAGAACGTACAGTCCAATCCCATTTAGGAACAGGTATTTAAAAATCCTGACAAAGTAACAGCAAGGTGAATCCAGAGCTGTATGAAAGTTGTGTTTAGGAGAAAAGTGAGGATTCTTAATGTAGAAAGTCTATCAATACAATCTATCACTGTGATAACATATGAGATCACCTAGAAAGATGCAGGAAAGCACCTGGTGAACTTTAGCCTCTATATACTTTTTAAAAGTGCTCAGAGTGTGACAAAATTGGGTTAAAAGGACAACGAAGACAGCCTGGAGTCGGCCCAGTAGGGAACAACTCAAGCACCTATACAAGGAATGAAAACAGCGGATCACCCTGCAGTGAGTAAAACAGATGCCCTCTCTCTCAGACACAAGAGAACAACTGGTAAAAGGTATGAACGGTAATGTCACAAAAAGGGAAACACAAAGGACCCACAAACACACCAAAAGATGGTCAGCTTTATTGTGAGTGACAGAAAACACGAATTAAAGCCATTAGCACACCATTTTATACTCATCAGATTGACAAAACAGAAAAGGATATAAAGACATGACTGTTCTACATTATGTCTCAAGTAGTCTAATCACTTTTGAAAAACACTACAGTATTAAGTTATGAAGTTGAGCAGGTATATAATTTACCACCCAGAAGTTCTACTGCCATGTAAATGCCCTACAGAAACTCAACACACACACCCCAGGGCAGCACACGTAACAATGCGCAGGACTACTCATAAACGAAGAAACAGAGGGAAATACCTAAGTGTCTTTCAGTAAGAAAATGGATAAACAGTGTTTTATTTACACAATGAAAAATATAAAGCAAAGACAATCTCTAAACTCCATTAACACAGAAATCTCAGAAACCTGAGTAAAAATGTAAGTCTCTTAAAACTATACCATTTTTACAAATCTTAAAAAAATATTAATATTTAGCAATAAAAATACAGGGTGGGACAAAAGTAGGTTTACAGTTGTGAGTACCAGAAAGAGAGTCTGTTCTGGTGTTACCCTTTATTATTGTACTGGCTTCCACAGGAACAACTGCACACCCACTTCGGCCCCGCCCGGTGGAGCGCTGAGGAGCGCACGCCTGGCTAAGTCCTGGGGAAAGGCAGGTGGGGCGTGATTTAACAGGTCAGGACACAAGCTGTCCCTGGGGGTGTCACGAGTTCTCGTTCTCAACTGGAGGGCAGGCTCGTGGCGGTTCATGTCATAACTTTGTTCATAACTTCCCCAGATAGTATAAATGTCCTTTTATGTGACTCAATTATTAGAGAATAAAAAATAATAATGGTATATTGTAGTAACTAAAACTATAGGAAAAAATCCATCAAAATTATAAAGAAAGAGTGAAAAAAAAAGAAATGTTTTTAAAGAATAAATACTCGTCAAAACTACCCACCCAGGCTTGGGATATTCGCTCTAGCGGTCTCGCTGACCTAGAACATCCCTCTCCGTGTAATCTACTTAGCAAACCCCAGGTCCTCTCCCTTCCAACCTTAGCTCCATGACTTGTCTCAGCAAGAACGGCCCTGCCCACCCATCTGCCACCTCGGCCTCCCAGCCCTGACACTGGCACCCCAATCTCCCCAGGGGACCAGGACTCGTTCTCTCTCTCTCCTTTTGTCTAGTCCTATACAATCTACGCTGTCGCTGTGTTTATTACCTATCCCGTCTCCTCTCCTCCTCCATTCTGCTGGAATGTAATCAATACACGTGCTGGGATCTTTGTAGCTCCATTCACTGGAATATCCCCATGTGGCTGGAGAGTTGGTACTCAGTCAATGAACATTCCACATCCTTCTGATAGAAGGCCCTGGATAATATGGTACTCCATGTTTCTCTTTCATGAATTATCTCTCTTACAGATAACATATTAAGTCAGGCACAAGCACCTCAAATCAGGTAAAATGACCCAAACTAAAACTCCTGGGTAGCCTTGAAAACAAGGTCTGTCAACTGTATCGCAATTTTTGAATGCCACTTGTTTTAGTCATGGAATCATGTTATGACTAGTTTCAACCATAAGCAAACCAAATACTAATCAGGAGTTTATTTTAAGATCAGCTCAAAGGAGAACAAAAGACAAATTTAAAAACCATTACCATATGTATATAAATGATCTTCCGTAATTTGCATATGTCAATGTATCCCACGACATACACTGTGAATAATGATGCAATCTGAAATTGAAACAGAAGTTGTTCAAGATAAAAGTTATATATACAAAAGGTAGCTATCAGAATAAAAAAGATTATTTTTATTGTTGTTTCAAATTGATCTGTATTTATTTTGAAAGTGAGTTCTGTAGTTCCTCTCTTACCCAACAACTGATTATCGAATATAGTCAGCACACTAATATAGCAAATTTCAGTAGATTTCTCTTTTCCATATGCAGCTCTCGTAATGAACCATCCAAGTTACCTACTTTGTGAATTCTCCAAAACGACCCTCACTTTAACGTTGGGGTGACTCTACTGTGAACACGCACAGTCACACGTGGCCTCGCCCAGTGAAACAACAGAATGTAATTGTAACATACGATGATGACTGGTGCATAATTGGAGAAGGTACATTAAACTAAAAAATAATTATGTAATGCATGTGTGTATTAATGTATTTTTATAACTAATACAGGAAGAACTTAAAATAAGTTCTGCTTGTTAGTCACTCTATACAAGTATCTTCATTGGTGTTCTCTCTCATTTATACAAATTTTCGTGTTACCTAATTTATCAAATTTCAAGTGAGCAGGACTTTCACCACAAAGGTAATTTTGAGTTCCTCTGCAGTTCTGAACAACACTGTGTGCGTGTCCACCGGGAATTCTGAGTGCGCCGGGGTCACGTAGATGAGCTGACTGAATGACGGAAGTGTGCCTCTGGGCCAGACACGCGGTATTCCGTCAGGTGACACCTCTCCACCCTTCTCCCTGCAGACAGGAATTCAAACTGAATTCCAAGCTCCTCCTACTTTGCAAACAGCCAAATAGTAAAACACTAGGTAAGTTCCATTCATCAAGTATTTTATCTCCAAGCATGCTACAAACGAAGTGGCTATCAGCAAGAAAGCCAAGGCCGCCCTTCCCCCAAGGGCTGGCCTGTCCCCGGGGTCACCGCACTGCTGGAGTGACTGATAATGGCACCACAGCAGTGGAGGAGTGTGCCCTGTCTCCTCCCCTGCACTGTAGGACCCCCTGGGCACCCCCACTGCCCCTGCCCCCGAAGGCAGGCCATCTCCTCTCCCTGGAAGCTCCCCTTCCACCCAGGGTCTAAGCAACACACAGTGGCCCATAGGGCAGGGTCTTAAGGAGTGACTTTCAGGGACACTTGAAACCAGACACATTTACAATGTCATCACGGGAGAGATGACAAAGGAGCCTAAGAGATGAGATCGAAGAAAGAACTGAGTACAAAGACAGCCTCTTTTTAAACAGTAACAGTACCTTCTGCCAGTACTCACCCTGCCGAGTCTGGCAGAAGCACCAGGTAAGGTGTTAAGAGCCTTATACACTATCTCATCTGACCCTAACCATGACCCTCTAAAGTGGGCCCTTAACATCTTATTTCACAACCAGGAAATGGAAACTAAGGAGCATTAAGCAGTCCGTCCAAGTTAAGAAGCCAATGAATGGAGTCAGGACAAAATCCAGGCCTCATTTCTTTTCTCAAGCTAGGAATTTCAGAGAACGTGAAAAAGTGACTCTTTCACTGCTTTATATGAATATAAACATGGCCAGCACAATACAGAAGGGGTGGGGGCCGGGGTCAGAGAGAGAGATAAACACACAATTTGCCCCTCTCCACAAGCAGCTATCCCTTGTTTTAGAGACCTCCGTTTGGAGAGAAAGGGAGGCAAGATGACATGGGAAGAGGACATGTAAGTCACAGGTCAGCAGAGGAGTTACAGGAAAATGAACTGTTTTGCTGTTTATCCTGTGTTATCCTGGGTGTGCTTATCCAAGGTAAGAATGTACGGCATTATTCATAAAAGAAATACATTTCCCTAAAAGAAACCCATCAAGTGAGAGTACTCGCCCTCTTTCAAGCACACCAACAAATACTGAGCAAGACAGGCAATCTTGCATTCTTACAAATGGGAGTTCAAGAAATGCATTCTTCTAGTTCGTAATTAACACCCACTAATCAGACAATCCTACACACTTCCCTGCCCTGAACTTTGTTCACAAGGATTAACTAAAACAAAAACAAAACCTTTTAGGAGTCAGTCATACATTTTCGGTTCTATAATTTCATACGAATGAGCTCAAGCCGGTGAGACACAGAAGCCCCTTACCTGGGTGAGAAGCGCGAACTGAGCGAACTGCCACGGGAGCATGAAGAACACGTTGGAAACACACAGGGCGGCCAAGCTGCCTCTGTAAAGTTTCGTGGCCCTTGAGAAGACAAAGACAAATCACTCGGTTTAACCACAAAATATTCCAGCGCGGCCCCAACCTGCTGCAAATCAGAATCTCTGGACATGATCTGGTTACACCATAAACTGGACAATGAAACCAAAGGGTTAGAAATCATACTGCGTGACACTCACTTCAGCAACTTTCTAGGCAAAGTAATTACCCATTATTACTGTAAAAACAAACAAAGTCAAAGTGCGGGGCAGGGAGGCCTGGGTTGGCATATCTGCTGAAGTTTTTCTAACTCTATTCTGGCAGATTCCTGTGGAAAAACAGCAACGCCTGGCAAAACCACAGAAAGCAGCATCTGCTGCTCCGCAGGATTCTGCACCCAAGTCCGGCACGGATTCTGCACCCAAGTCCGGCACGGATTCTGCACCCAAGTCTGGCACGGATTCTGCACCCAAGTCTGGCACGGATTCATGCCGAGCAGCTGAGGAGACCCTGGGATGTGGGATGAAAGTGGGCCCTGCCCAGGCAGGACATAGACAAGACAAGAGGACCCAAAGGCGGGGGTCGCTCTGAGCCACCTACGGATGCCTCACTTCGGTCCAACTTGTAATTTAGGGGATTTTGAGGTGGGTGTGGTGCTTTTGTTTCATGTTATTTTTAAGAACTACTTTTGTCCTAAATCAGTGAGCCAGTGCAAAGCCTCCAACACACCTAATATCTTCACAATGGGAAGTGTGTGCATGTGAACATCTTAAAGCTACCAGGTGTGCCCCTTAGACCGTGTGACAAACCGTGGGATGCACGTGCACTGAAGTGTCCCTTCTCCCAAGGACATGCCTGTGCTGCTCTAGTCCACCTCTATCATGCCCCTAAATCGAGCAATTTTCAATTCCAATTACAAAATTAATTTATTAGATAAGAACCAGCAACGTTTAATGGAGTGCAATGAAAAAAATATGCTTGCACCCTACATAATAAGGTTGTCCGCCATGAAACTCTTCGGGCTGTGTGTGGATACGCACGTATGGTGTATGAGGTCACAATGAATAATGTACTTTGTCTTTCTCGGAGATCAGGGGTGTCCAATGCATTTTCACCAGGGGCCATATCAGCCTCGCAGTTGCCTTCGAAGGGCCAAATGTAATTTCCGCTCCTTAACTGTTAAGGAGTAGTTACATTTGTATGGTTCTAAAATTATTCCAGCCCTTTGAAGACAACCGCAAGGCTGATGTGGCCCCTGGTGAAAATGAGTGTGACACCCCTGTTGTAGGTCATAGGCAAAAAGGTGAAAGCCACTGTCTAAAATAAAGCATTTTCCCACTGCTTTCGAATACTGAACGAGATTTTCACTGCATGGTTAATGAGAGGCAATGGTTTCTGAGCGTAATTCAGCACTAACCTGGCAGCCGGGCACCGGGTACAGCGGGGGCAGGGGACAAATAAAAAACCAAGAACTCCAGCGGGCGGCGATGCTGGTACAGTGCCAAGCCAGGGCAGCAGAAGCGGGGACGGAGGTGTGGCCATGGACGACCAAGTGCGAGCTAAGACTGGCTGGTATGAGGTGACTTACACAAAACCGAACTTCTAAAAATATTTGAAGTTCAAAGCTGGACAAAACCAGTATGCTAGGGTAAAACATCTTCCTAACCTTACTTATAAACGACTCCCCGTACTAGAGACAGGCTGTCCCCGCCATACAGTGGCCCCAGGAGCTGCAGCCACACCAGCTGTCCCTCTTCTTCCAGGCTCGCCCACGCCATCCACTCCCCACCCCCAGGAGACGTCGCTGCAGGGGGGCCCAGACCTAAAGAATGTGACTGGGCCACCAAAGCAGGCAGCGTTCGGTGAGAAGGATGACGTGCCAGAAGACACAGCTGACCAACAGGGCCGAGGCTGCCACCCAGGCGGGAAGGAGGGGCTGCACCTCCAGGAGAGGGCGGTGGGATCTGCCCGGAATGCGGCTGTTGCCACAGGGAAAGGCAAGCGTCCACCAGACTCCACACCAATAGGAAAGCCTAAAACTGTTCTGTAAAAACCAACAGGAAAGACAGGAAGGTGCAGGTGACAAGGCGGACGTGACAACGACCAGGCAGCTGGAGAAAATGGAGAGAGAGAGAGCTTGCCACAGAAGCACCCGGAGAACTAGACAGAAGAACCTACCAGAAGGCAGCCCCTGAAGCAGGGAAGAGTGAAAGGGGCAGTCCTATGGTGCTCGGGGAAAAATGGCCTCCAAACAGGCCTGTGTTCTAGTCCCTGGAAACATGCATAGGTCACCTTACCCAGCACAGGGGAGTGCAGGTGACCCATCAGATGACCTCCAGCATAGGGAGATTAGCCCAGATTACCCAGGTGGATCATCCAGATTATCTAGGATTATCCCCGATGACCACAGGGGTCCTTAGAAGGCACAGAGGGCGGCTGGAGGGAACTGAGGACAGGAGGACTCAACCTGCAGTGGCCGGTTCTGAAGACAGAAGGGGCCACAGGCTGGGCCACAGCCTCCCAAAGTCAGAAAGGTCAAGGGCACTGGTCTGCCCCTTGAACCCTGGGAAGAAGTACATCCCTGCTGGCACCTTGAGTTCAGGCTCCCCGACCTCCAGGACTGAGAAGTAAGGCGGTAAATCTAAGGTTGTGGTGGCTTGTTAGGGCGGCCCTGGGGAGCTGGCAGGGCCTCCTGCAGCACGTCCCCCAGGGTGGGTGAAAGGGAGCAGGGCTGGCGGGCGAGCAGCGCCATCCATGGCTGCCGGATCAGCGCAGTGAGGGAGAGAGAGAGGAAGCAAAGGTTTGTCATCACTGGATTTAAGAGAGGAGCAGAGGTCGAAGAAAAATCAGGAATTAGAGACTTCTGGGCAGGCAGTTACACATTGCACCACACAGGAGAAACAAAACAAGGTCAGGGTGTGGCTGCCTCCCAGGTGCCTCGGGGCCAAAGGTAAGGAATTCACAGGTTTCCTCATCTGAAGATGCTAAACTAAAGAAGCTCTAAATCCCATAATAAAAGGCATCCAAGAGAAAGCCTGTAGGCTGGAATTGCAGGGACTTGAAGAGCTGAAATAAAAGTGGCCAAAGGCCCATATAAAAACATCACAAAAGAGAAAAAGCCACCTCCCAGCTCTACTGCTGACCTTTCCACTGATGAATCAGAGCGTCCAAAGCAACAGACCTCAACCAGGTCCACTATATTCTTCAGATCACAGAAAGGACCCTCTTAGTCCCAGTCATCTTCAGATTTTCACCACACTCTGCTCTATTTTCCCATAGGCCCCTCTTGGTGTACTTTCACCCTTGAACTGAGGCAGCGCCCTCCAAACTCCGTATTTGTTAGCAGAAGGTGGGAAACTGTTCTCAGTCCTTTTCCCCACTTGAGTGGGTCTGGAATCCTGTGTCTCTAGCTGAAGGCCAGAGGACTGGGCCGCCCAACCCCATCCTGCATTTTTAGCAGGAATTCTCCTAGCAGATCTCTGGCCTGTGAGTGGTGCCTCCTGCCTCTGACTTGCTGGGATGCTAACCACATGGAGAGTGGAGAGGTACACGTGTTCCTATATGTGGCCACAGCAATTCTGCGACCTGTTCTTTGCCCCGAAGGACCCTCTGCTGTCCCCAGCTCTCCCCCTTCTTTCTGCCTGTTTTTGGGAGGCTGTGGTGGTGATAGAAATGACTTGGGAAAGTGGAGACAGTGGAACAAGCGACACGGGTTTGCTGCTCCACAGGGCCGGCGGGAGGAGGGCCTGTGGACCACGGAGAAAGAGGAAGGGCACTGACTGGAAGGCAGGTTAAGGAAATGTTTTTGATAGTAAATATTCTGACATTATATTCTTAAAATAACTTTATGAATTCAACCTAGCATCAGCATGATCTTAGTTATGTTATTATATTGTTCTTATTATGGAAGCTTATAATCCTACCTCAAGTTATTCAAGGCAACACAAACCACGAACCGACGCCGAGGGAAGTGGGAGTTACCTGAGAATGTGAGTGACGAGCAACATCTGCAGCACGAGGAACGGGTAGGAGAAGCTTTCTCGGAGAGGCGGCGTCCACATCACGCGGGTGCACTGGGGAAGAACCACAGCGGACAGTACAGTCGCCAGTTTTGTTAAGTAAGGCGTACCAAGTGAGAGCTGCTATTTACGTGGACGGAGAAAAATCTCTCGCACATAATTTAAATGGTGTGTTGTCAAGCAAGCCACAAATTCCCACCAACAGCAAAACCGGGGAGTGAGGGCCCTGCTGAGAGGGGGCACTCAGAACCCAGATCCCGTGAAATGCGGATGGTGTGCACTGCTCGCAGCCCCGCACCCCAAACTCCAGCCCCAGCCTCACGGGACGGGGGGGGGGGGGGACGAGCCAGAAGATGCTCTGCCAAAGTTAAAATCGTCTCGTTTGAACTGGTTGTGTAAATCGACACTGTCTTCTTTGACATGAATTTCTGAAAAACTATAACTGAGACTTCAGAACTCTTTGCGGTCATCAATGTGAGTATTTTCATCCACAACGCTGCTAAGAAGGAGCATTCCAATACTGTTCTTATTCTCCTTTGCCTGAGAGACCCTGGGCCGCAAAGTATTTAAAAGTGGCAGAGAGGATCTAAATTTCAATTAATGCTCCCAATTTTAATATGTCATGACCCCAAATGGCCATTTTTCTGGCCCAAACTATTTTATTTCAAATAAAATAACAGAAGTCCTAAAACAGTCAAGTATCAATCTTTCTGAAGAGTTTACTTTACACTTAATTACATAATATCCTGCCCCAGCTGTCAAACTCAAGCATTTCTCTGCATGCAAACTAAATATATCAACAAGACCATCTTTCCGTTTTAAAACCCTGTACTGGAGTAAATACAAAAATGAGACACTATTACTACTAAGTTAGTCACTCTAGAAGAAATCATTACGTCTTTCAAGTCATGCAGGGTTTCTTTAAAGACGACACAGCCTCATAGTCAAGAGGTACATTCTAGTCAATAGAATTCGTTCCCCGACCTGAGAGCACCCCTACCTAAGCACTGCATGTGCTCAGAGAAGTTTGGGGAGATTGCTGGTTAGTCAGAAAACTCAAAATTCGCTCCCTGCTTAATGAACCCAGCCCAACACTTAACCATTCAGTGCTTCCATTTTAATGCACATCAGAATAATATTATTTACTGCTTATTTACCATACAAGAATATTATAAGGACTAATGAGACTGTTTCAAAGTGTTCTGAGAATTTCTTTCCAAATCTTATATAAATTACATAACTAGGTCAATAAGTAACTAGAAATGAGTACATTTATTTTTATATTTTTATCTCATTTCAGTTCAAAAATATTAAAGAAACTAACACAGGTCAGAAAAATATGTTACATGTAATAAAAAAGGGTAACTAGCTATGCCTCTAAAGCCATCCTTGTACATACTGAGTCCAGCAGAAGTAATACCTGCTTGGGTGTGGTTGGTAGGGTAATAATATGGGTGTGATAATTTATAGGATTTTAAAAAAATTTTTATTTTATTGATTATGCCATTACAGTTGTTCTATTCCCCCCTTCATTCCCCTCCACCCCTGCATTCCCCTACCCCTGCCATTCCCCCCTTTAGTTTATGTCCATGTGTCTCAAATTCTTTGGATTCTATATTTCCCAAACTATTCTTGCCCTCCCCCCTACCTATTTTCTACCTACCATCTATGCTACTTATTTTCTGTACCTTCTCCTCCTCCCTGTTGCTAACCCTCCATGTGATCTTCATTTCTATGGTTCTGCTCCTGATCTAGCTGTCCTGTTAGTTTGCTTTTGTTTTAGATGTGGTTGTTAATAACTGTGCGTTTGCTGTCCTTTCACTGTTCATCTTTTTTATCTTCTTTTTCTTAGATAAGTCCCTTTAACATTTCATATAATAAGGGCTTGGTGATGATGAACTCCTTGAATTTGATCTTATCTGAGAAGCACTTTATCTGTCCTTCCACTCTAAATGAAAGTTTTGCTGGATAGAGTAATCTTGGTTGTAGGTCTTTGGATTTCATGACTTGGAATACCTCTTTCCAGCCCCTTCCTGCCTGTAAGGTTTCTTTTGAGAAATCAGCTGACAGTCTGATGGGAATTCCTTTGTAGGTGACTGTCCCCTTGTCTCTCGCTGCTTCTAGGATTCTCTCCTTCATTTTAATCTTGGCTAATGTAATGATGATGTGCCTTGGTGTGTTTCTTCTTGGGTCCAAGTTCTTTGGGACTCTTTGAGCTTCCTGGATTTCCTGGAAGTCTATTGCCTTTGCCAGATTGGGGGAAGTTCTCCTTTTTTATTTGTTCAAATAAGTTTTCCACTGGTGGCTGTTCCTTTTCCCCTTCTGGTACCCCTATAATTCGGATGTTGGAGCGTTTAAAGATGTCCTGGAGGTTCCTAAGCCTCTCTTTTTTTTTTGAATTCTTGTTTCTTCATTCTTTTCTGTTTGGTTGTTTCTTCCTTCCTTCTGGTCCACTCCATTGATTTGAGTCCCAGTTTCCTTTCCATTACTATTGGTTTCCTGTACATTGCCATTCATTTCAATTAGTTTAGCCTTCATATGTTCCTGTAATTTGTGACTAAAATCAACCAGTTCTGTGAGCATCCTGATCACCAGTGTTTTGAACTGTGTATCTGAAAGTTTGGCTATTTCTTGGTCACCTAGATTTATGGGCTCTGGGGCTCTGAGATCTTCTTGAGCCATTTTTGGTCTGTTCTCGCCAATTAAGTATGAGGAGCGGAGCCTTAGGGGCAGGGCGGGGCCTCCAGGGCGGGTTGCTGGGTTGTGATGCTGTATGTGGTGGCGGGGTCAGAGTGGGGAAATGGTGTCCCCCTGTCCTGCTTCCCACTGCTGGGTGAGGAGCGAAGCCTTAGGTGTTCACCAGGGTAGAGTCGCTGGTTTGTGACGCTGTATGTGAAGGCGGGGTCAGAGCTGGGAAATAGCGGCTGTCTCTGCTGCCTCCAGTCGATGGGATCCACTCAGTCCCGTCTCACTGCCCGCTCCCTCCCCAGTCTATCTGTGCAGGAATGCGCCAGTACAGTCAACCCGCCGCCCCTCACCCTTGCCAGATCCCCCGGTCGCTCACTGGGTCACTCACTGGGTCCACCCGTTGCAACCCCACACCTGCGATCCGTGCGCCTGAGTCTGTCTGACCGAGTTTTCCTGTGCAACCCCGCTCCGCCAGCTGCTGGTTTCACCCCTCTTACTGGTCAGGCTGAAGAATTCGTTGTTATCAGACTTCCGAAAAGTTCAATTTTCTGTGTTCTGGCTGTGTTTTCTGTTGCTAATATTTTGTTGTCTCTAAACTTGGTTGTGTGAGAAAGCACGGCATTTCCACCTATGCCTCCATCTTGGCGGAAGTCCGATAATTTATAGTTTTAATTTGAACATTTCACCTAAAATGTCATATAATGTGCTTGGGTGTGATATTGTTATATTACAGAATTATATGCTTATGATTTTGTAATAAAAAATTTTGTAATTAAAAAAAGGGGTGTTATTTGTGCCAGACCCTGTACTTTGAATTATTTAGTTTAAAAAACATAGGGATTTTCTTCTTCATATGTATAAACCTTTTTATCTGTGAACATGGATTATAGAAAACATTGTTAGCCAGGACTGATAACAATTTTTAAAATCTCGTTGTGAAAAAGCAAAACAAACCTATTTTACCTATAATAAATTTCTAACATTCAAAATTGGGAAAAATATTTAGTTCTTTTTTAATGCAATGATCTGGATGCTTTTCAATCAGCACCATGCATGCTACATACATCTGACTTATCACAAGGAAACATTCTGAAGACAGAACAAAACCACGAGCTTACACCTGAGCAATAATCTTCAATAGGAACAGAATCACCATTTTTTAAAAACCTAGATAAATGAAAACATCAGCATAATTTTATTATGAAATGTATAACCTCTAAGCAATGAACAGGTCTTTTATTGCATTTTCACATGTTTTACATTTAAACTTCTGTTTTAAATAATCGAGTTAATCCTTTTATATTATGTATTTTGTAGTTCTTTGGTTTGGGCAAAATTTTTCCATTGTAAAATCACCTTAGAGAAAGATTACTTTTAAAAGTATGTCACGTATTCTCTTAGACTCAAGTACAGAGCAAGCCAAATAATGGAAATAGAACTTAAAAGCAAGTAACAATTCACGACTATTTTCTGGCACGTAAAGCACTCGCTCCCATGATTAAGTTAAAATAGCTCTTCCAAAAAGAAGGCACCAATTAGTAAGCGCCCAGCAATCCCAAGGAGCAGAACCCTGATGCTGTAGCAAAGCTCACTGACTGCACGAAGAGGTGCTACAAGGGTAGGTGCTTCTCCCCAGGTGAAAAGGAGATGCTTATCATATGCTTTAGGCAACAGTTTTAAAAGTCTGAAAAATACAGGGTCTGAAAATCTCACAATCTGAAAAACAAAATGAATACAAAATTACAATAAAATAGTTTTCAGTTACTTGAATTCCCACCATTATTTTACACTAAATTTAAAATAATGCTCCCAATTTTAATATATGTCATGACCCAAAATGGTCATTTGTCTGCCCAAAACTAGTTACTGATACAAGTATCCACCTATTTCAGTAAAACCAAAATTCAAATCACACCAAGTTTACCTTTTCCTAAGTAGAAGATGATGTAACTAAGCATGTTTAAATATGCCAAGTAGATGGAAACTATTTTTAAAATCTATCACCTGAGAAATCTATCACAGCCGGACAGTCTGAGCCCCACTGCTAAAAACCGAAGACTTTGCGCCGAGCGCTGCCCGTGCTCTGCGCGCACCGCCACCATGAGAAAAGCAAGGTCGGGAACGGGCAGCCTCCACCTCTAAGGGCAACACGGTAGGCCCTGCAGTTTCGAGCCTTTGAATTTGTATTCGGGTTGTCGGGGAGGTACCGGTAAGTAAACCACACAGGTGTGCAGCGGCCCTTTCTGCCACTGCCGCACGTGCACACTCGTGGCCGCTGCTTCCAGTGCCAGGCGGGCACCTCCTGTTCCTCAGACCGCCCTCGCAGAACCTGTGCTCTTCGCTTCGGGGTCCGCACTGCGACACTGAGCAGCACCCACAGTCAAAAAGAGCCAAATAATCCCTTTTTAAAAATGTTCCCACTCAAAACTCACACCAAACCAATTAATCAATGTTATACTGCAATCATTTGTCAAGTGCTCTAATATAGAAAATCACTCTACTTTTACATTTCTGTGACCCTACATATTCTGCACATGTTAGTTCAATACCCATTAGTAACCCACTGAATATTTAAAAAGTTCAATCTTGACCCCACTGCTCTTTGAGCTTCGGAACGCACGCACATTCACAGACCACAGACACTGAGTGTGTAAACGCACAAAGCAGCTGACCTTCACCTCTCCTTAACAGAAACTTATTTAACCGGGAAGGATACCAGGCAGATCTATTCCTAGAAATTCAGCTGCATCTCTAATTTAGTGAAAGGTTTTCATGGGCACCTTGAACGTACAGTAGACTCTAGTCTGCACTGAGTTACTCACAGCAACAGCACACACTGACCACTGCATGGCAGTTACTGTGCGTCAAACACGGCTCTAGGTCCTCTGCCCATATGAGTCCATCCACTTCCCCAACAACCCCATGAGTGGGTGACATCATATGCCCACTTACAAAGAGAAAATCAAGGCAAGAAAATTAAAGGACTTGTCCAGGTCACAAGGCCAATAAATGACAGAGGCCGCACGTGAACACAGGTAGACTGGACCCGGAGTCTGCTTTCTCCAGTGCCATCTCCTTAGAAAGCCCTTCAGTGTGCGCAAATGTACAACTATAATAAAACAGTCTGCAAAGGACACTTAAAAATATGTCAAGTATAATAATATAAAATATAGTTCTTACTGTGAAAAGTTATCTCCACACGGGTAAACAAACTATAGCCATGAGCTTTAAATTGCACAGAGCACTGAACAGACCCGCTACTTCTTCAAGTCACTAGGAGACGTATCACAGAAGATATGCTCATGAGAAGTTAACTAAAATAAATGCTAGTGTTTAAAATCTGCATCAAAATAAGATCAAACATTTCAAGAATGCTACTAGAGTTTAAGAAGTTAAATTAGAAAAAGAAACCTATACTTCCATTAGAAAAATCTAAAATTTTTAAAAATACTGGACTATGACAGAATAAGCTCGTATTTCCAGAAGGTTTGGCAGACAAGCCCTGGGTGACCACCTACCTCCCCATGGTTGAAGAAGAAGCACAGCACGGTGACCAGGCCTCCCAAGCGGCTGCCGCTGGAAAAGAAGGGGAGACGTGACTCAGAGCGGAAGAGCAGACCTGGCCCGATCGGCCTCGAAACAGCCCATCGGGGGCCAGCATGACAAAACTGCAGCCACACCAGAACGCCCCCTGGCTTATTTACAAAATAGCTTCTCTCCTCTGAAGTAGTTAGTCAAAAAAAAGTTCCATTTTTAAAAAGTCATTCCCATCTTCAAAGTGTTCAGAAAAACAGTCCAACTGCCAAGGAGTAAGAAATTCTTAATAGTCACGTTACAGTGCATCATGCCACCTGATCTTTCTTCCTTTTTTTAATCTTTGTTAGCACACCGATCTGTGTCCTTTTGCCTTTCTGACACTGCTTTTTCAAACACATGATGTAGAGTCGGGAAAGTGGGGGGAAGGACAGGAGAGGGCTTTACAGTCATTAAGTTGGAAAATACCTCACCTCATCCCCAAGCCACTGTTCATGCTTGGGGAACAGTAGTTTACAGAAGTTTTATCTTTCAATTGTTTTCAAAATGCAACACAAATGTCAGCACAGCTGAAATGCTATTTTCCCTTCAATTCTGCATCTCCAGTCTTGTCTGTGAAGGGCTTCCCACCTCAAAATTACAGGTTCTACCATCACACAGGTGATGGCGGAGCATCTCCCATGACTGTGGACAGCTTGGCGTACTAACCGGGGAGGCAGGTATCCCGGGACACTCGAATGCTTTGCTTAAACCCACAGGGGGCGCACTGAGGCACAGCCAGTGTGGGGGGACGTGACTCCCAGTGATTCCACAGCAGCGGACCCAGCACTCCCTTCCCTCCCTTCCACCATTAGACAACTGCAGAGGTCATTTTAGTTCGCTAAACAGAAAAGATGTACTAACCAGAATACTTAAAACTGATTCTCCCCCCATTACAGTTGATCAGGTAACACTGCAGCAGTCCCTAGCCGTTTTTAAAAAAAGTTTCTTCTGCAATCTTATCAACAAGTGTCAGAAAATGAGAAAGGCTTGACTAGGCAAATGTTAGATACTCCACACTTGCTAAACATCTACCACATCTGCTCGTACATCTCATTTACCTCGAGCCTCGATTTTGTTAGAAATAAAATAAGGGGATAATAATGTAAAAGAACTTCAAAATACTTTTAACTTCTGACACTTAATAACTTTATAATTTTCTTTTTTCCTATATCTTTCAGTGACATGGATTCAAAGCAATCATTAGGGTTTTCTCTCTATTTACCAAGGAATGATGAGACATGCAAAGTTCAACATTCAAAGAGAAAAAAAGTCATCGTAGTTAATTCTAAATAAATTTTTGAAGATTTTATTTATTTATTTTTAGAGAGAGGAAGGGAGAAAGAGGGAGAGAAACACCAATGTGTGAGAGATACATTGATCGGTTGCTTCGTACTTGCCCCCGACCAGGGGCCTGCAACCCACGCATGTGCCCTGACTGGAAATCGAACCGGAGACCCTCTGGTTCACAGGCCAGTGCTCAGTCCACTGACCCACACCAGCCAGAGCTAAATAGTTTTTAAAATAACCCTGGGGGCTCGTTTTCTCACTGAATAAATGCTTTCAAAAGAGAGCGCAGAGAACAACCTGGGGATCGCTGGGTGAGAAGCCCAGTCTCCAGTCCCAGACGCACCTGCCAGCCGGGGAGTGGTGCCCAGCAGGCTGGCTGAGAGCACAGCGCCTGCCCCTCACCTTGCGGGCAGGGACACTCTGGGGCACTAAGGAAAGAGACAGACAGTAAAGTCGAAGAAGAGGATAGCAATGAGGAAGGGCGAAAAAAGTTTTCAGCTTTGACCTTCCAGTCTGGTACAAGCAGCTAATCACTAATCAATGCTTTAATTTAATCTTTGTCTGCCAGGGCCAAGAACCAGAGTGTTTTATTTACTGGACTGTGAACATCCCAATTCTTCACTGTAGCTGCCTCAGTGTCTAGGCCTGGGCTCTGCTTGTGGCAGAGAGTCAATGAAAACATGAAAGGAAACACAAAAAGTGATTCGATCCAGAGACTGCGGGCATCCCTCTCTCCGAGACGTGCAGGCAGGCACAGCTCATCTGCACATCATCGTTGCCCCTGACCCTTGGCCCCGGCCCAGACAGGGGCTCCAGCTCATCATCAGCACCCTGTTTTCAGTGGAGTCTCTGCTGTGAGCTCTGCAGACCCCTCCTGTGCCCTCAGAACCTTCCATCCATGGGGACCCGCTTCTGGCCCTCATGATCCACCCAGATGCTGCCTTCTCCCCTGGCCTGGAAAGCTTGCTCTCCTCTAAGAAAATGCTTCTGACCAGCTCAGCCCAAGGGGTGGCCACGCCTTGACCGCCCCCCAAAGACCCTGCTCCGGGGCTTGTGACCGAGCCCTGCTATCTGTGTGGGTGGGCAGGGGGCCCAGAGCTGCTCTTAGGAAAGAAACCAGTAGGTTTCATGACTAGTTGGATTGAGGATGTAACAAAAGGGCAAAGTTGTGGGTATATTACAGGGTTCAGACTTGGGCAGCAAACAGGGTAGTTCAGTGTCATTTGCTGACACAGTGACATAAAAAGGGGCTGGCTTTAGAGAAAAGCTGACAATATTTTCAACCAATAACTTTTGTCAGCTTATGTGTGCTAAAGAGAGATACTTGGCTTTTACATATTCATATACAACTGTTAGATCTAACGATTAGATGTGCCAGTAGGCCGGCTAATGGAACATTCTGAAAGCCACAGGGATGGAAACGTCTGAGCTGGCGCAACCCGCCGCTGCTTCAGACGCGTCTGCAGCCCAGATGCAGCCTGTGCAAACAGCGAAGGCTTGACTTTTTAAAATGGAGAACAAAAAAATGTCAACGAAAACAATGGAGGCAAAATTGGCATAAAGAATGTAAAATTCAGCTTTTCCTTAAAACAGGTGGGGTATGGGAGAAGAGTAAAAAATTGATATAAAACGCTACTATATTCTGCCAAAGAGCCTAAAAAGAATACTGAGTCCCTTCATAGGTAAACTTGGGTTGGACCAGGAAAACTGGTTTATATTCACTATGACCCTTCGCTTCAAAATAGAAAGGGGGACATTGAGCAAAATTTAAAGGGGGATTTGACATACAGACTAATCCTCTAGGCCCTCACAGCTTCTGGAACATATCTAGAAAGAAAGTAGTTTTAAAAATCCTTTCTGGTATCAAAGAAGTGACTATGAACCTCCAATGACCAGAGAAGATAACAGAAAAACAATCAGAAGATGAATGCACTCTGCTCTCTGACCAGCTGGTTCCCGTGCAGAAGAAGAAAAGGCGTTTTCTGATGACTTGTTCCATCTACACGAGAATGGCCACAAGAGCTGGGAAGCGATGGGGGACTGAGTGAAGAACCACAGAGAAAGGTAAAAACTGAAAAACGGAGGAGAGGAGCCGAGACAGAGCGAGTGGCCGCAGAGACACTAAGCAGCAGACATTGAACGTGGAGTGCATTTAGAAAGATCATTAAACAGTTTTCTCAAACAACTGTCTCAGTACAATACAGGGAGAGAGAAGGGGTGAGGCATGCAGGACCTGCCCCAGGGACAGTCACTGGTCCCAGGTGCCTTCTGCACCGAGGAGGCCAGAACCAGATGTCCCTCCCCAACTCTCTGCTGTCTGCCTGGAAACAAAAAAGCTCCAAGAGGAGGGCAGCCTGGGTCCCCCACAATGGAAATTATGGTCCGATCTCTAAGAAATCCCACTGGGCAGTGAGTGGGTCCAGTCCACCTCACAACCCTCTGATCACCTCTTACGAGCTATGGCGATCCGAAACATACTTGTCAGGTCAGGTGAAGGAATACCTACCTACCAGGCTGCGAGGACGCTGTCGATGTGGAGAAGCAGACATGCAGATTCAAGGGGACTGGGAGGTGAAGGTGACGGGGGCATGGAAGAGGCGGAAGAAAACCACAAGTTCAAAATTCACTAGAAGCACTGGCCTCTCCCAGAAGGTACAATAAAACACAACGGATAAAACATTCAAACAATAGAGTTTTGAGAAAAGCAGAGACAATGGAAAAGAGAAAGTCGACAAAGGAACAGAGCCAGAAAAAGTCTCCCCCACGAGGGAGGGAGGCAACCCTGTGGTGGACAGAGCCCACAGGGTCCACGGACAAGAACGGAGCAGCATCTGCCACGTGGCGGCCATCAGGACCCAGAGGAGGAGAAAAGGAGCCTGAGAGTGGCCCAGCCTGAGGGAAGCACAAGCCAGCCCTTGGAAGGGACCCACGCAGGACGGGGTCTGACCTCTGGAAAGTTTGTTAGACCCCACAAGACACGGTCTCCATGAAACAAGCTCTGAGGGAAACATTACTCCCAGTGAAACCAGTCTAACCAGGCAAACCAGTAATCAAGTACAAAAGAAAAAATACATTTCCAACGTGCAAGGTACCTTTTTAAAACTCCCTCCACATACTCCTCCTTGGGAACTAACTACCTGAGGACAGGATCCTCCTAAACAAGAGGGTGAACAAGGGAGAAGCCAGAACAGGACCAGCCAGCTGTGACCCCAACACAGGAGGAGAGAAGCACGGAGGTTCTCAGGATGGGGGGGGGGGGCACACGTCCCAGCACTGCTGCCGTGGGGTCCCCAGCACGGCCAACCTGGGGTGGGAGCTGGGGACAGGGGGCCCCAAGAGGGAGGCCCCAGGGCTGGCAGGGGGGAGAGAAGTGAAATGATGGGTTTTATATATTTGCCAAAGTGTAAAGTGAGTATTTTACAGTTCAGCTGTAGATTTAGAATTCACCAGTATATAGACAACTAAGAAAAACAAAACACGGGCAATTATTAACCACAGGAAAAAAGTGGCGACCAGGTGAACATGCGTTTACACTTGACTCAGCAGTGGGCAATATGTGGACGGCATACTAACGTAAACCTGGACCACTGGCTGACATGTTAGACTCTCTGAAGTTTTGAAGACCTTCGAGCGATTTTTCTGGACAAAGGGAAGACTGGGTGATGGGGACGCGTGAAGCAAGGGACTGCCAGTTTGCTTCACCACAAAAGCCAGATAATTCCAAAGTCACACATGTGCACACAAAATAATGATGATTAATTTAAAAACATCCTCATAAGAATCACACCCAGCTGTAGAACACAGTAATTGAAAGAATGTTACTCAATGAACTTATCTGGAGACCTATTGGTATTTGTCAAAGAAAGAGCTATGAGGGAAAAAAATCATAAAAATATTTCAGGTAACATTGAAACATGTTCTTATTCACTGAAATAAAAATGTATTTTATTAATTTGGGTTTAAGAACTATCAGACAAGAAATTAAAAAAAAAAAACCCAAAAAACAAAACAAGACTGAAAACCTGCCAAAATCATTCAAAACTTCCAAGTCAGGGGCACGATTCAATACAAAGGACGACAAATCAGGGAGAGATGTGTGATCACAAACAGAGTCCCAATTATGTCACCTTGCATTCCAATTTGTAAACCAGCAATGAAATGAATGATGCTAAGACACGTGAACAGGTGAAGCAACTATCAGAACGATTGTAACATTAAATGCATGTATGAGAACAACAATGGAGTCAAACAGGATCCTGGTAAATGGCAACACTGGAGCAAGTCAATGCCCACACAGCAAACTAAAATAAACAATGCTTGCAGAAGTATCAGCCTAGGAGGAGCAAATCCTGGCCACCTCAGGACCTTTAGAAAATGAACTGTTCTAGAAAAGAGTGTAACAAACGTCTGGATCCTTCTGAGGACTATGTTCTTTGAAATATTTGTATGAAACTTTTCCATGAAATACAAATACTTCCATCTTTGGAAATGGAATAAACAGCTTTTTCTTCATTATTCAGTGTCTTTAAATACACATTAACTGAAGCTGCAAATAACTGAATCACTACTGGGAAGATATGCAAACGCACTCACAGAGGCAGCAGAACGCAGTGGCTACAGGGCTGCAGGCACACACGCTGCAGCCCGTGCTCCAATCCCCCCTCTGCAACCGACATGCAAGACGGGACCTCAGGAGAGTTCTTCAACATCCTGGTGCCTCGGTTTCCTCATCTATAACATGGTGAACCTATCTCATAGGGCTTATCCTAAGGACTAAATGAGTGGATGATGATAAAGAGCTCAGACTAGAGCTGGGTACACAGTAAGTGCTGTATATGTATTTCTTCCATAAATGAACAGCTCTAAATAAAGGGTAGAATTTACAGAGGAAAGGCAGCAGAGGAGTCCCTTGGAAAAATATTTGCTACACTGGTAAATGCCTATAAAGTTTATGTGATAGATAATATATTATTATTATTGTGCCTTTCATATAGGGCAACCATAAGCCAAGTTGTTCTTTTCTGTAATTTATTTAATTCACTTCATTCTATTAAATCATATTTACTGAGGGCGAGCACTCTCCCATTTCCTTGCAAGCGCTGCCTTATCCATTCTCCCACAGCAGACTCTCAACTCCTTTAGGTCTGCTCCTTCCTACTTAATCACCTCTTAAAAATTCTTCTCTGTATGTGTAACTTCCATTTCACCCCCCCGTGACAACCCTGAAAGACCTTTGTTATAGTATATGTATTTTTACAAGGTAAAGGCAAACCAAAGAACTGGCAGTAACTCTTTCTTCCCACGTCATTTATTCAAATCACAGAAAAACTCTGGAGTTAACAGCTTCCACCCACCATTCCGAGCTCCCACCATGCTCTGCGGCCCTGCAGTCCTACTCCTGGCAGCCCGGCCCAGCCAGGCAGCCCAGGACACTGCAGCAAGGGCTGCACCTTCAGCCTTTGAAATGACAGTTATAAAAGGCGTCTCAGAAAACGATCCTGAATGATGACTTTAATAAGTGCATAGAAATTCTTCTTGCAATGAAAAAAAAGTAGCATCACTGCAGATGAGCAACTCAGCAATAATGTCATGTTCCATATTTTAACTTCTCTTACTTAAAACCTAATCTCCCAAATATAATGAAGCACTCCGTGAGACAGATGAGCAGTGCTCAGCAAGAAGAACAAATGCACCCCAACCCCAGTTTGTGTTCCTTTGTTCATCACGCCCCAGGGCACGCCAGCCCTGTTTTACTCTGCTTGGCCTCCTCTCCTGATCACCTTGAACTTCTGGGTAAGCTGTCTTGTTTCAAACATAAAATTTTTCACATCTTTTTAAAAGATTTATTTATTTTTAGAGAGAGGGGAGGGGAGGAAGAAAGAGAGGGCGAGAAATATCAATGTGTGGTTGCCTCTGGTGCACTGCCCACCGGGAACCTGGCCCATGACCTAGGCATGTGCCCTGACTGGGAACTGAACCTGCAACCCCCTGGTTCGCAGGCCAGTGCTCAACCTACTGAGCCACACTAGCCAGGGCTTTCACATCTTTTAATCATGCATTTTCATTTCAGTCTCCCCCAATTAAATAATGAAAAGAACTTTCTTGGAGCTAAGTCAGAAATATTAGCATCAGAGAATCCAATCTATATGCAAATATATTCTCAGTTGATCTAACAGCTACCTCATCTGATAAATATCTATGAAGGAACAGCCATCTACTCAAATGCTAAGAACTCAACAGGTACCAAGATGAAAATGCCACACTTCCAAAGCAAAGAAGATAATGGGAGAACAGCAGATTCGAACTCATTAACGCAAACTGAAAACCACACATACATACCCATGCTCATACAAAGAATCAGTAAGCAGTAAAATAAAAATTCTAAGGATACTCTCGTGGTAAAATTCAGCAAGTACACAATTTGGAGAATTAGAGAGAGAGAGAGAGAGAAAGAAATAGAAAAACACTTAGAAAATCTTAATCTTTAGTTTTAGGAATGTTGCTTAATTACAAGTAAATTGGGTCAGATAGTAAATACCTGCGTAAAAGATACTTTTATATTAGCCCAGACTGGTGTGGCGAAGTGGACTGAACACGGGCCTGTCAACCGAAGGGTCACCAGTCTGACTCGCAGTCAGGGCACACGCCTGGGTCCCCAGGAAGGAGCACTCGAGAGGCAACCACGCGTTGCTGTTTCTCTCTCCCTCTCTTTCCTCCCCTCTTCCCCTCTCTCTAAAAATTTTTAAAAAACTTAAAAAAAATTTTAAGATATTTTTATTTTAATATTAGCAAAGGGCCATTAACACCATTTGATCATGAGCAGTCCTCCCCTTTATATTTTATGTAAGTAATATGTATTATTTATGTTCAAATGCCTATGGACTACCTGAAATAGATCAAATGTGCCCACCATGTTCTATTTAAGCCTTTAAAATTGTTTTCACTTTTACTGGCCGTGACAATGGTGAAATCATCCAAATGGGGAGTACTTTTATATCTACAAGTAGATGTATTAGAAATGACACTGTTATAAAACTGAACCAAACTTTACTGATAATCCCACTATTTATATTACTCTAGCATACAGTAGTATAAACACAGAAAAATATTCGCAGTGAACAGTCTTACCTTAAATATGTGCCATAAATGAAGAACAATGCCATCATCAGTCCATTTAAAATAAAAATGACAGCAACATAAAAGCAAGCAGGATCTCCCAATCCTTTAAAAATAAACAAAATGTATGTTAAAAAAACTACTATATGTGACTGGCAATTTATAGTAAAAGGTCCTCACTTTGAAAACGGCTGCCCTGGTCCCCACCCACACAACTGCAACACACATGACCGTGCGGCTCACAGTGGAGCTACAGATTCTCAGACATCCCTTCAGCACACGCATGGGGCCCACGCCCCGTCCTGAGCCTGGCTGGGCCTGCGACTACTTCTACAGTGTGCAGACGCCATACTCCGTGACTTCTGAGGCCAGGCCATAACAGGCCACGCAGTGTCCACAGGAGCTGGGTGGCCACAAGGAAAGCCTGGCTACCCTGAGACACATGCAAGAGAAAAGCCCGAGCTGCATGGAAAGGGGACATGCAGGTGGCCCAGGTGACAGTCCCAGGGAGCCCATCCCTGTAGGCACATAGGGTGAGTGTGGCAGCCCCAGGCAATTCTGGTCACCCAGCCACCTGGCTGGAGACACGGCCTCTGACCCCAGGGAGGCCAGGCAGGCCCGCCACCCACCAACCGTGGACCAGGCCTCATGCAGAGCAGAACGTGCCTTCGCAGCTTTCGATAGGGCTGAGTCCTTCTCCTCTGGTCACCGTCCAACATATCTTGGTTTGAATGCCAATCAAGTCCATTATTTTGGTATAAATTCGATACCAGCTGGCTAAAATTACCTAATTTTTAAAAAATAGAGACAACAGGAGAAAAGACATGATGCTCAACAGTTTCCTACTGGAATATTTTTATGACACTTGATAATTTACAAAATTTCCCCTCTGGTAGCAACAGCTGGCATCTTTGAACCTAAGAAGGTGGGCCTCACAGCCCCCAAAACGGGTCCCACCCTGGTGGGTTCCCGCCGTTCACCCACGGGCAACAGTCAAGTTCAGCCAGAGGCACGTAAGATCTCCATTTTCAAAAGCTACAAACCTCGACTAAGGAACATAAAAGAAGATCTGAGCAATTAAAAAGATACTATGTCTTCCTGAATAGGTCTAATTTTCTGAGAAGTGAATTCTCCCTCCAATTAATTTATAAACATAAAATAATACTAATCAAAATCCCAAGAGCCTGCCTGGAACTGTCATCTGGAAGAACCACCACACAGAGACGAAAGAAGGGACTGTCCTCACACACATCAAATGCTTCACTTATGACAAAAACAGTGAGATGCTCGCACAAGAGCAGCCAAACAGATCAGTGTAACCCCTGCCGCGGTGGTGGGCTCCCGCCCACCCTCTTAGGGCTGAGGCCGCCAGGCCTCCACAGCTGGGGAGTGGGGCTCCCGGCCCAACGCTGAGCCCCTCTCTAGAAGCCACCCTCTGGGAAAGGGTAAATTCGCTCAACAGCACCCAAAGACAATGGCATCCTTTGAATGACTAGTTGTACGGCCCTAGCCTCCACAACGGACAACTCCGCAGAGCACTCCCCACTCCAGGGCTGAGGGGGCGGGGCCTGGCTGAGGCCCTGGTTGTGACTGCACCACAGCGCCCCCTCCTGCTCCCTTCTTCCCCCTTCAGGCCCAGACCCCTAGGGCACCCCCTAACTCATCCTGCAGGAAATCTGTCTCAAAATCTGCTTCCCGACCTCAACTTCTGCCACACAAAATACAAAGTCCAAACACAGAAGCAGCATCGATGTATAACAATGCTGTATGTCATGATGCATGAGGGGAGAGGATGGACCACACGGCAAAGTGGCAGGTTCCACAGAGGACCACTGTGAAGAAGGTGAGATTCCCACCCCACACTACACCAAAGCGAATTCCAGATAAGTTAAAGAGGTAAGTAGTAAAAATATAATTACCACAATTAAAAAGAATGAAGATATTTTACACGCATGAATGAAAGAAAAATCATACGTTAAAAAGATTCAGACAGGATACTTCTGTACAGAAAAAGTACATGCACATCATACACAAGGCTGGAAGGCAAACAAAAAGTCAGGAGAAATGTTTTATCCATGTAACATAGTATCAACATCCTCCATGTAATAAATGAGCTCTTAAACAATTGCAAAGGAAAAAGACAAAGGGCATGAAAATACATTTTTAAAAGTGAAGATGCATTTTTTGCTAAATTCATATACACGCAGAGCAAAAAACTAGTCAAATTAGCAAGGATTCAGGTAAACAAGCATCTTCAAAAACACTGCTGGTGGGAATTTCAATCAGTGCGACCTATCTGGAGTGCATTTCGGCAAGAGGCACCACGGTCATTAAAGTGCACATTCTGTTGAACTAAATAGCTCCACATCAGCAAAGCCCTGGTGCAGAAGAATAAGGACGTGTGGAAAGACAGCTTGAAGATCGCTACAGCAGCGTTAGACTACTTTAAAAGGCTGGAAACAAGCAGATTTCTCACAGACGATGAACTAGATACACAATGGTACACTGTGCACACAGCCATTAAAAGGGAAACTGTGGAAGAAGACAAAGGGAAATGGTTACAAATAGTCTGAAAAGACAAAAGGCGTTTATGGAAAGAAAACGGCAGTGCAACCCCATTTTTCTTGTGTCATCCTATTGCTGGTGTACACGGTTATAAAAACTACTGTTAATAAACAGGAAAGCATGGAACTGTGGGGGTTACTTATTGGTCTCTGTCGCCTCATCCATCAGTGGGGCTGACTCGCTGACCCGGAAGTCCAACCCCTCTAGGTCCCCGGAAATGACCGAGAGCCCTGCAGCGCTGCCGCCCAGCCAGGGCCTGTGCCCCTGCAGAGAGTGTCCGTGGTGTCCAGCCGGTGGCATCCGGCAGCAGAATCCTACTAAGAAGGGGGATGCAGGAGTATGGTAACTGGAGAACCGTCCATTCCACCCTCAGTGTCACCGAGGAAGGCCTAGCTGAGCTGGGCCCTGGCGAAGGCTCACGATGTGTCACACCGAGCCCGGGGGCACCGGAGCGGGCCCCACAGTCTCTAACAGATCTCACTGCCCTCCGCCCTCTCCAAGCCCTTCAAAGTCGATGATTTTTTTCATACTCCTTTCCAAGAAAAGATACATTTTCTTTTTAAAAATGAAGTATAATTTAATGTATTAAATCATGCCTTAGATTTAGGATTAGCCTTTAATACAAATTAGCACTTTTTTTTTAAAGTAAGAAAAATCACAAGTGAAGAAGTAACTTACCTCAGGGTAGAGATTGAACCTTTTTAATGTGTTAATGACAAGAGGGTACTCGGTCAGCTTGTCATTCATAATCATCCATACTCCGTTCAAGAAGGAAGGTGCCTCCACAATAGTCTTGAAGTAGGAATAATATAATCCCTGAAATAAGCACAGGTTACAGTTATAATAAAAAGTACAAAAGTACTATACATCTCATTAGCTTTAGAAAAACTTAAAATACACTGTTTTTGAAAAGCAAAGCAATCATGCAAGTTAACAGCTACAATCAATTCCACAGGTTTCTAACCACTGATAAAGTTTTCGGTTGCAAAAATAAAAACCTACATATTTTTGTATAGCCTTGTCTTAACTGAAGCAATTGGGCTCAAAAGAACTTCAAAAATAGTTTCCACATTAAAAAAATTAAATAACTCACCATACATCATTTAAGAAAATCCTATAACCCATATAGTGTAAGCGTAGGAGATTATCTTAGAAACAGAGTGAGTGGTTTACTACGGAACTTAAATTTACCCTGAACCACAAATTCTTCCCTGGCCAAAAATGGTTCCAACTGCTTACTTGAATCCTTGTTTTATAGGTTTAATTTTTGGAATAATGTAAATATCTTGTTTAATTACAAAAAATTTAATCCTTCACTATCAAAAAATTTTTTTAAGAAAAAAATTTACTTTTAAGTTGCAATAGGATTCCCAGTAACTTTAAGATATAATGATTTTATTGAACGTCCCTACTGTAAAGCCAGCTTGAAATGCAAACATAAGTAATTTCAAACCCAAGATTCTGAGACTAACAGAAAAGCTACCAATTTAATGTAAAATGCATGAAATCCTAACTTTGAATTTAAAAATTCAAAGATGAATTAATGGTTCCTTTTTGTTTCCCAATTCCGTTCACTAAACCGCCAACCGAGTAGTGGTGAACATCTCCAGCAACGAAACCGTAGTCTCTCACACCATCCACCATGGAGAGGCAGGGTGCTTCCTGGAAAACCCATGACCCCAGGTCAGGAGACAGGATATCTCAGAGCCCTGGACGTCAGGAAGCTAAGAATACAGGCGCAGTTAGGGGCGCACAGAGCCCACCACCAGGGCTTTCACCGCCTAATGGCAGGTGAGTTCACAGAACATGTGAAAACCCATCAGATCATAATGATGCTCCTACGGAAGGAACTCCACCAGCCACCACGAGAAGATGCAGGGGACTGACTCATTTTTTGGAAAAGTGATAACCGGGAAGAAGCAAGAATTAACCCAATTTACCTGTGTGAAGCACATCTCTAAGAAACCAAATAAGTATCATAGGAAAGTTCTTTATAGAAGAATTATAGTTAATAGTACAGAAAAGGTAATAGAATAGGTAATAACCATTTGGAAGTCCCAATAAAATAACTGACGTAGGCCGATGGCCAGATGATGACAAAAACTACAGCCACTGATCAACCTTGACACACCAGACAGTAAGACAGCCAGATGCGGTGTGTCTCTGTCTGCAGCATCATAAATGCAGAGCATCACTTATGAAGTGCTCTTCCGCCCTCCCTCCAAAATCAAACCTTCAGCTGCAGACACTCTTACCTACTAATTTTCAAGAAACTTGGGACATTGGAACATAATAAATAACATAAATTACTTTGGGTAATTCTATAGGACAAATGGCCAGGATTCTTCAAAAAACAAATAGCAAGGAAAACAAAACAAAAATGGGAAGAGGAATGCATAGATTGAAAGACTTATGAGAGAAATAAGAGATACATCAACTAAATGCATCAATGGTGTAACTGTTTTTGGGTCCTGACTCAAACACACGAGCCCACCAAGTGTAAAAAAAAAAAAAAAAGTCAGTGAGGATATTTAAAGAGTGATTGACACGATGTTATTAAGCAATTGCTGTTGACTGTTTTCTAGTATGACAAGGGTTCATGGTTAACAAAAAAAGTCCTTCCCCAAAGGAACCTGTGAAAAGTCCTTCCGGATGGAAGGACACAGTGTCTGTGGTCTCCTGTGAAGACAGGTGGGCGTTCGGAGGTGCAGCGGAGAGAAAGCCAGGTGCGTCCCCTGGGTCCCCTGGGGCTGACGCCAGGGATTCCAGGACGGAAGGGGTCTACTCCCTCCACTTCGGAACATCTTTCAGAATTTCCATATGAAAACGCTTAAAAATTTTAAATCCCTGAAATGCTACAATCAAATGCCACAGGAGACTAACCATTTCGGTGCGAAACGCCATCTCCCTTTCCAGGGTCGAGAGGTGGGAGAAGTGACGGTCGTTTTCAAACAGGTGTGTGATGTGGCTCCTGCAGAACAAGAGGGCAACAGAGCAACAGTGTGGGGTGCAAACAGGTTGGAAAGAGACACTGAGAGCAAAAGTAAAATAAATAATCTGAAGATAATTTTGTAATAAAACTCAAATGCAATGGTACCCATATTTGTTTCTCTGCTCAGCATGTCTTAAAAGTTATACTAAAATTTCTCTCTATTAAAAAGACCACTCAGATTAGATTTTAAAATCAGAATGAACCAGAACATTTTAAGCCAAGTCCAATAAAATTATAAACCATAAATGTCACTGAGTTACCATTACGGAAATGTCTGATTAATGAAATTCATATTTCTATCCAGAAGATTAAAAAAATTAATCTTCTCAACACGAACACTGCACTAATGTTAAGCAGAGTCTCAAATCTAACCTCTTGAATAATGAATCTCTTTATTAAAAAATTACATTATTCTGACCCTGATTTTTCAATTAAACTACTTTTTCACACTACTGTGTTGCATGTGATAATGTATATTCATCCTTATCACACTGAAATTATTCCCCTACAGCTACGGGAAACAGCGATGGTAAGTCTTTACCATCTGCAGAAAACAGATCACAAGAGAAAAACAATCTTACCAGTGCAATACCGCAGCAAAGGCAGCTGGAAGAAAAAAGAAATGTAAATTACTACATTAACATGAAGAAATGTTTCCAGCTTACAGACAGCCCTCACGCAGGTACTCGTGGTTCAGGAGGTGCAAACGGTGAACTGTTCTGGGGTGGGAGAAGAGCACGCTCTCTTCAAAAGCAGCCCCGGGACTGCTTAAAATACCAGCAGGCTGAATTATAAAGGAATTAAGCATATGTCTACAAATTTTCATTCACTTGCTCTTTCAACAACATACGTGAAGGCCTATTATTTGCCAAAACCTGTACAAGGCACCTTCTGATGGCAATACCCACAAATAGAACCGTGAGGGGAAGAGAACCAGTGATGAGAGGTAACTTGGAATAAGAAATATGTTGACTTCAGGGAACAGCACTGAGATGGAACAACGGTGAACTCTCACTTTTTATATACTGCTGCAATACTGGAATTTTTATGAAAAATTTTACTCTTTTTAAACAAATTTAAAATGAAGTACATAAAGAAGGAAGAGATGGTGAGAGAAAAGAAAAAAAGGCAAGAGACAGGCTATGAGAACTGTTAAAAAATAGACCAAACATGGAATCTCTTGTGCTAAGCCTCGCATCAGCAAACCGAGAGTACTGCCTGGCCCGACAGCAGCTCCAGCTGGCCCAGGAATGTGACCTTTAACTGCCAACCTGGAATCACCTGTCAGAACTAGAGAGGCAGCCGCAGAAAGGCCCTTTCCCTTCCCCTTCGGAGGGCAACCTTGGCTGAAACAACACCTTCTTTGCTTATAATTTCTATCTTACCACTCCTTTTTGCCTTTAAAAGCCTTTCTTTTTCTACCGCCTAGTGGAGCTCCTTTCTATTTGCTGGATGGGATGTCTCCCAATTCGTGAATCATCCAATTACAGCTTTAAAATTTACTCGGTTGAATTCTTGATATTTAGCTGAATAAATAGTTTGCTTTTGTCCAAATACAAAGAACATATTAAGATGAATACAGAAAATACCATTCAATTCTTTTATATCACAAGGTTAATCATACTGCAGTCTTCTGATTAAATAACTACTGAAGAACTGAATGATGAAAATATTCTTAAAATTAAAACCAAACAGCTCAGATATTTTGCTTATTCTTAAAGATGTGTTTAGCTTTAAAAAATACATTTTGCCTAGAAGATATTAGTGGTTAATAAAAATAACGTTACTCTCTAGACTGTTGAAACTGCAAACATTTAACTAGCTTGTCATACGACATTTGTTTGTTTATGCTACTCTGACCTTTGGGAATTCTGAGTCTCTTTCTTGTTGACAAATCTACCATCCACTTTCCTTTTGGTTAATGATTTCACCCCACCATGAGAGAATCTGGGGTTTACTTTCTCAATGATCTAATAATAATGTTCTGAATAAATCACTCTTCCCTCACAACATGCAAATGCCACCTACATCATACTCAAGACTTGTCTTCCTTTGGTAATCCCTTTGAAAATACAACTGGGATTTCATTTATAAATTAATTTGGGAAGAATCTTCATGTTTTCAATGCAAATCCATACACATGATATATACCTTCAAGTATTCATCTTGCCTTTCAACTGCCTTGACAAAAATCCCTTAAGTAGAGTTAATACATATTTTAATACAGAGTCAACTCATACCTCTTGTTACATCTTTCTGGGAATTTAACATTTTTTCTGCTAATACCCACAAAATCAGTTTCTCATTATACATATCAGATATCGTTAATGAATTTTTTCAATTGTATTTATTTTGTATATATTTGTGGCTTATTCACTTAATTATTAGTTGTTAGTCTTTTCTGGTTTATCATCAAGTCTCCACATTACACAATATTATTTAAAAATAATAATGTTGCTCCTATTTTAGAATTTGCAGTTAGTTTCTTCTTCCTGTCTGGCAATAATAAACTTCTAGAATATTCAACGATTCACTAAAAGAAGGCCTCCTGTCTTCTGCTGACTGGAACAGCAGTGCATTTCACATCATGCCTTTAGACTGGCCTTTGACCTTCCCAATTCTGGACCGATAAACAGGATTTCTGAAGGTCATCATCCCCCTACTCCCTCAGAGTACCAGGACTTCTCAGGGGAAGGATGGGAGCACTGAGCAGCCCTGGACACCTTCCTCAGTCCCCTTCATTCCGCTCCTGCGGCCCTGGAGCCAATAATCCTGGGCACCTGAATGGCACTCTTTCGAGTCTCTGGGTCAATTCATAATGTGCCCAATGTTTGAACCCCTTTGTTCATCTCCACTGAGTAGTAATAATCATACAGCTGCTAACACTTGAGTTCTTATTACAAGCCAGGAACTTTCAGTGCTTTACGTGAGCTAAACTCAAAGTATCCTCACAGCTGTCCCATGTGGTGGGAGAGTCCACAATGAAAAACCGAGGCCCACAACACACTGGAGGCCGCCCTCCCCCCCCCCCAAAACACAGCAGGGGTCGAGAGAGGGGTGGAGCAGAGAGGGGCGGGGCAGAGCCACCCACTGCCTGGCCCTTTGGGGGGTGATCAGACAAAGGCCAAAACCTCCTTACTCCCCTTCCCTCTTTTTTTAATATTAAAAATAAAACAAAAAATGTTGTAATTTATCTATTCATAAAGGCAGTACGTTTTATAGAAGCTATTTTTATATAAAAATGTAGAGCTGTGCTTTAATTCATTCAAAATAAAAATAAATTATATGTGTATGTCATTTGAAAATCAAAGCACAAGCAGATACTTACTGCCTTGTGAACGTGTAATTTAAGCATAAACACATGAAATGATAAAAATTTCTGAAGGCATCCGTAAAGAACTTTTCTTGCCTTCATGCCTACAAAATAGATTAAAACTGGTTTTCTCTAAATTTACTCAAGGGGTTATCAAACCCATGTATATTTTTTGGGAGTGTCACAAAACTGACAATCCATTTTTTTCCCATTTTAACTCATATATTTTTCACTCTGAGGTAATGAAGTAAATATAGCAAGTTTTTTTAAAGCAAAACATAAAACTAAGTTTAAAAAAAATCCAAACTTATTCAATAACAAAATGATGTTCAAGAAAGAAGGTTTGCTCTACGGTTGAAATCAGGAGACAACGACCCCAGGCTGGAACTTTGAAGGCTCCGCTGGTTTGCTGGAAGCACGCAAGTTTCCAACACTCGGACACTAAACTGCACACTATACCACGTTCTAATGAAAGAAATTTTGTACCAGATTATATGTCAACTCATATTAAGTTTCTGTGTTCTGGGACTCAAGCAGCCTCCTCACTGCAAATTCTTCTGTTATCGGAATCTCGTTTAAAAAAAACAGAGTGTGACTCCTTGAGGGTAGAAACGATCACCAAACTATAGCACACAGCTGCACACATAGCCAGACTCAAAGGTTTGCTGAATTCATGTGCTTGATATAATTAAGGGGAAATGAAATAATCCCAACTCATGTCCACACAACAAACCAAAGATGAATACACTTTGATTGACGGATACACACACAGGCACAGGCACACACACGTCCGTAATGGTTTGTTTTTCCTTCCCCCCTCAAAAAGGTCACCACTGACTTAGTGCAAATTAGAGCCCCGGTTCCCGCGTTGGGGTGCCCAGAGCTGGAGTGCACTGAGCTGGGGTGCCCAGAGCGGGAAACAGGGCTGCCTGGTTGCAGTTCCTATGGTCCTGCAGCAGCTCCTGCTCCCCTACACGCCACGCCTCCTTTCAGCCCAGAGTAGCCGCAGCCCCCCAGGCCAGTCCTGACCTTTGTTCTGGCCCTTCCGCAGCCCCACCCAGGGCAGTCCAGGGCCTCGCCCCTCTGCCTGGCCACTGGACCACCAGCAGTAGGGGGTGGGCAGGAACAGTGAAAGACATGGGACGGGGGTTTCTTCCTACTGTTCTGATCAATCCTCAAGGGCTCCTAAGCCCCGTTCCCTCTCCACCCAGCACCTAGCCCCCTACCTCTCTCTGCTTCTCCCCCCCAAAGTCTCGGGCCCTCTCCAGTCCTGCCCAGCGCACCAGGATGACCAGGAAGTAGAACCCTGCCATCTGCATTTTTGAGATTCTTCACTGAGTGTTCTGGTTAAACGTCCCAGAGCAGGTCTATGGAGCCTCTTGTGGGGGTGAGGAAAGCCGGCCTCCAGAGGCGCCTCCTCCAAAAGCACACAGCTGGTCAACGGCCAGAACTCTGGGGATCCAGGGGTTCTAAGCCCGAACCTTGGTTTCTCCCTGCCACCCTGAGAGGGGTGGGCATTTGGTGGCCTCCCTTCCCATTGGTGCGCATTTGGTGACCACACCTAGTAACAGTATTTACATGGAGAAATGCATTCTAAGTCCAAAATGACTTGCAAATTTCAAAAACACAACTTACTCCTAGATCGAGGTTAATCCATGCTTAAAGACAGGGTTTTTTAGCCTCCCTAACCTTCAAGTGACAAAATGACAGAAAGGTTATGGATGCCCCTTAACTCTGTTAGGAACGGTTTCCAAGCAAACCTTGAGTGCTACCGTCAGCCCCTTCCTGATATGACTAACAGCTTCTCACTGTTCCTGAGGGTCCTTCCAGAGTGGGTGCTCCTCTCGGGCCAGGGTCCGCAATGGAGAGCACTGCTGTTTCAGGTCGACTTGCCCTGGAGATTGCGGCAGCGTCCGCAAGAACAGACCCAGCGTCTCCTCCTTGTATGCGAAGTGCCCCTTGGCCTCCCAGGGCTCATGCCACAGGCCCCACACAGGAACTGGCCTATTTCCAGTCCATCCCCACCACACAGCCTTTGTGCGGGCTGTGCTGGGCCACAGCCCTCTAAAATACCCAGTGCTTTCCCAATGCTATGCCTGTGCTCCTGCCTGAATAAGCCAAAGGAACGCAAGCAGCCACGGCGTTTGTGACGCTTGTCCTCCACTCCGGGTGCAATGCCTTTACCACAGCCCCCAACCAGCAAGTCTTGTTCACAACAGCTTCCCCTGCTGGAAGGCAAGGGCCTCGAGGCTGAGCTTGTGAGCCTGCACTGAATTCATCATAGTGGCTACAC